GAACTGTATAAAGTGGTTATGACTTAGGAAATGTCGTTTTCTCAATAGTTATACAGATAATTGAGTTCAGATGACTGACAATAAGGATATTTCATTTGATAAACTTTTCATCAATACATTTTTTGTTTCTAAATTTGGATCCAAATTTGAATGTATTCGGAATGTTAAAATTATATTTCCATACGTTGTATGAAACGTTGTATCTCAAAAAGACACTAGTATGTTTTTTCTTATATTTTGTATTTGTACAACGTATATTTTAATCTTGTACAACAAGATTTGTACAACGACTCACTCTGTAATAATAGTCCATGCCTCAACTTGACTTACTTGGTAAATGCATCAGATTCAGTCGGTTGCGCTGTAGGTCGACTGAACATAAAATTCGAGGTGGGGAATCTTGACCCAAATATAGCGGATAGTGAACTTACTTGTGTTTACTTCTATAAGGTGATCTAACAGACAGCGTTGCTCCCGTCTTAGGATAGTAAAGTACGTTTTTACATTTGCGGTCGCGCTGATCTAATTTTTGTTCAGGTGTTTCTTGTCGGTAAATCCAAAACTTATGCTAATTTAATTATCAATTGTACTATTCTGAATATAAAACTATTCTATTTTATAATAATGCAGTCAATTTTCAACAATTGTGTATCTGTTTTTTTTAATTTCAAATTTATTACAAAACGACCGTTTGAGGTTATATCGCTCATCTGAGCGCCATTAACCCTTTTAGTGTATGTATGTATTTTTTTGAATGTTTTTTTACTACCAGTAGGTCAAAGATATATGCTTTTGTTTTGAATTGTTGATTACTTGGTAACTGAAGACTTCGTTACTTTTATTAATTTTGAATTAATTGAATTATAATAAATAATTTAAAAAATATACCATTTTTTTCTTAAGTGACCGCCATTCCCCCTCCCTATCCTATGTTTAATTTATGTTTCAATTGACCCCATTCACTCGACTTCTCTTCAATGCACAATTCATCATGTTTTCTATAGGCATACGTAAAGGTCAAAAGTCATCAAACTCATAGTGAAATCGGAAACATTTCGGTTCTAGAATTATTCATCACATTTTGTATTCAAAGCATTCGTCTGTTTCATCCGCATATCTACCACACAGCAAATAATAACGAATCATTTTCTACAATTTTTTCAATGGGTTTAATTTTGAACGGTAATTGTCGGGGTCCAAACTTCTAACTAATTCACTTTCATTTGATGAAATGCGAAATGAGCATTCCACAATTTTAAAAATTGGATTGTTTGAAATGTTTTTCGTTTTTTATCTCGAATTCAGTTAACTTGTAAAGCATTCATGACAACAATCATTCAACATATTATATTTATGAATTATTTAAATTTCTCAAACATATATGCCAAAAAAGGAATGACATTAATTTTCTCATGAAGATCTCTGAGAATAAATCATCTCTGAAATACTCCGTGTCAAGTGAGTTGAGTCGCAAAAACCATTAGTTGGTTTTCATCTTGTGATCTAGGGAATCGGCATGCAAAAATATTCAAGTAACAGTCTACTGTGAGATTTTTACCAGACAGTTCACAAAACAGCAAATCGCAACGCGTATTTCACTATGCAATAACTTTTTCAAACGTTTTCATTCGTACTGAATTCTACTCAATTTGCTTTTTATATAATAACAATTTGGATTGTATCACCTTCTACCTACGAAAAGATATTTAATTTTATTTCACCTGAGTTGAGGAAAATACTAATTAAAGTTTTGAAACATCTTAAATGAAAATTTTACTAACTCATCAAATGGACATTTTGTTAATAAATTGATGGATGTAGCCGTTAACTACTTGGTAGGAGATCATAATGAAGAAAAGAGAAATGAAACTTTATATGTTTTTCACCATTTTTATTTGTCACTAACGTTACTGCAGTTTCGTCCTATAAGGACATTTTCAAACTTATAGGTACATGTGTATGTTTTTTTACCACTTTTGAAAATGTCCTTTTAGGACGAAACTCCAGTAGAGTTAGTTACAAATAAAAGTGGTAAAAAACAGAAAGTTTCAATTCTCTTTTCTTCATTAGGACATTTTGTGCTTTATATAATAATAATTTTACATGAGTTTAGATAGAAAATAAATTGAAATGTACCTGAATATCATGAATGGAAATTTTAACAAACTCATTAAATGGGCATGTATATAATGAACTAATTATCAACTTCCACATCAGAAAACGGTCATTCAGTTAATTCAGAATTCTTGAATCTAATAATTTCTGAGCATTGACTTTCAAACATAGTCGTAGTTGAACTCATGCCCCTAAGATGGTTTGCAATTGTGGAATTGGTCTTCACATTCAAGAAACTACTCCGGTGTTCCTTATATTCCTTGGGTAAAAGTTCTTTTCGTTTAGCTAATATAAAGTTTTGGGCGAAAAACACAAGTCAACTGATGTGTCCAACACTGAAGTTTTGTCTTCAGCGCTTTTAATGCATTTACTTAAATTATCATCTGCCCGGTAAGCTACGTCCAAGTCTGTCCTTTTCAAAAAACGAGTAATGTTATTGGTGGGTTACCAAAGCATTTCAATGTCCTATGACGCTCATTACTGTTTCTTAAAGTGGAATAAACCTGGTAAATGTATTGTATTAGGAAGTTTTTTGGAAATAATGAAGTCAATATCTAATATTTACCTTGTAACCGTTGCTGACAGCGATAAAAATCAGTTCATGCTTAAAATAACTTTCTGACAGTGGAGTATTCAATAGTCTGTGAAGAATAGAATTGACACAGTATACTTATATAAGTATACTGTGATATTGATAGGGCAATGGAATTACCCAGTTCGACAAACTTGCCCAACTGTCTACCTGTACCGGTAAAATAGACTGAGATATCATCTACGTATCTGTACTAGTTCAAGAAATATTTTTATACTGGTACAAATACGTACCAGAAACAATTTCTTATCCTGATAAATTATAAATTCATCACTTGTAACAATCATCATAGTGACCAATAAAATATAAAAAGTTTTGGAATAGTTTTTAAGATGCAACATCGTTCACCAGACACCTTTCTAAAAAAATCAATTTATTTTTTCGTTCTTTCGAAGAATTTGACAAAACGAATTGCACAGATTTATTCTTCGCATAAATCTTTCAAATAATTTCATTTGAATTTTCATCCGGCAAATATAATAATTCCTTTGGAAGATAAATTATTCTGCGAATATTGTTTTTTTTTTCTGTTTCGGTATTATCTTCAATTGACAGAACCAAATTTTTCGTGAAATGGCCACAGTACGTATAAAATTAACCCAAATTTATTCTTTGGGAACATTCTTTTGCAAATGTTAGAAACAAAATTATTTGTCTTGATCTATATTGTTAAATGCTTCAGATGGTGGATTTAAACTTTCAAAACCAAAGTCACTGATGAAAATTTAGAATACTGACAACAATAAATGAAATAAAGCGAGACTATTCATGTTTTAAATTTCAACTACAATAGATACAAAAAGCTTTTGTATCTGACATACCGTACTACTACGGTAGAACTCTTGTTCTCGAAAATTAACATTTATACCATATCTTTAAACAGATCCAATAAAAATGTGTATCATTTCAAAAACATACCTACACAAAACAGACAATCAAGAACTGCAAATTGAAAATGAATTACGGTAGCACTTTCTAATAAGTTTATTTCGATTGAAAGTATGTTTTTTGTTAGTTTTTCTTTCGATTAACTTATTGAGGGGATTGATGATTACATTTATTTTGCTTATAATTGCTTTCCCATTCTATCTTAATTATTACTGTTATTGAATAATACAAAATGAAAAATTGTAGATTTACTATGCTTATTATTTACAGCTTTCCACCGTTCATTCAAAGAATGTATACAGTTTTACTATAGCTAGGGTTTGACAACACTTTTGCTGACTATGAAAATATATCTTTTCGAGTTGGTTCCCCATTAAAAATCTGTTTTTTTTTAAACCAGCTGTTGCACCCCTACAACCCTCAGAAGTAGAAACTTGTGCGAAGTAAGGACTAACGAGGTCTTACCTTTTAACGTGTGATTCCTAACATATAATATATAGGTACATATACATCTTTGCAGATATAAGTGTATGTAAATTGTTCCGCAAGGTTTGAACGTAGGGATGAGTGATGCAACACATTAGTGTTTCATCAATCTTCGCCGACAATGCACTGCCAACTTTTTTTCCAAATGGAAAATGGGCCCCTATTCCAACTCGTTTGGTTGTTATTTTAATTCTCTGTCCAATACCATTTTATTTTTGGATTTATATTCGTTTTAAAGATATGCATTCCAATGAATGTTTAAAATGGTCGCCAATCACTTCCTGACAATAATGAAGTTTGTTTACAAATTCATTTCTTACATTATGAAATGTTTCTGGGGCACCTTTTATTCTAGCCATGAGCTCTGGTATACATCGCGGTTGGGTATAGTATACCTCAGATTCTACAAATCGCAACGAAAAAATCTGAGGGCTTTATATCAGGTGAGTTAATGGGTCATTCTCATGGAAAGCCCATCCACCGGTTTGGATAATTGGCATCTAGCCACTTTCGAACCAGCCTGTCGTAAAAAAGAGATTGGTTGCTATTTCATTTTGCTAAAACATCTCTTAGAAGAACCTATCACATAGCTAATATGACGCCAGTTCGCCATTAGATGCTTTTTTTAAGTGTAAAATACAACACCCCAGTTCATTTCAAAACTCAAGGAGAGAAAACATTGCTTATCTCAGGAACATTTCATAATGCAGGAAATAAATTTGTGTACAAACTTCATTGTGGTTAGGGGGAAAAACATTTTGAAAATACATTAGAATGGACTGTAGTAAGTTTTTCACGTACATTTTCTCTGAGCCTAATAACTTGTTCCGTTTTAGTGGTTCCGTTCCCTAAAAAAACGCAGCCTAAATTAATGACATGTTGACATTTGACTTTGACAATTCCGATAATTCTATGACCTAACCTGTGTGAAAGTTGGAAATATCTTATATTTGTATACATACTGATAACTAATTGAATTGATGGGAAGTACCTTATCTGATTTACCTACGTCAAGTTGTGTAATTTTAGTATTATACAATCCACTGTATATGTTATAGTTATTCATTGAACTTTCTATAGTGAAGTTCATATACATTTCGAATCGTTTAAACTACAATGGGTCTTTTAACTGAGGGAAGTCCACTTTCCTGGGAAGAAACCAAGAAACTTGCACAACATGTTAGAGAACATGGTATTATACAGTTCATAAATTTATTCAAAAGACTCAGGGATAGAGAAGGCGATGTACTGAAATGGGGTGATGAAGTTGAATATATTATAGTTAAATTTTTCGATGATAAGAAACAGGCAAAAGTGAGTTTACGAGGTCATCAACTGCTTTTGAAACTAAATGAAAAAGAACTAGCTGATCCCGACGGGGTCAAGTCACTCTGGAGGCCAGAATATGCAGCTTATATGATTGAAGGAACGCCAGGGAAGCCCTACGGTGGGCTACTAGCACATTTCAATATAGTTGAAGCAAATATGAGGCATAGAAGAGAGGAAGTTAGTGAGTTGTTGAAGCCTGATGAAAGAGTAATGTCTATTACAAGTTTTCCAAGGTTAGTTTATTTGGGTTCTGCCTAGTTATATACTAGTGAAATGAAAATACGTTTTTTCAATTAATACTTTACAAATTCTTGGCTCATGTCCACACTTTACTAATTGTTTTCCTGAATAAAAATGATTCATGATAGGGTATTTACAGAGAAGCACAGAAATCCTATTTAAACCAATACGCTTTTGTCAAAGACTCTCGATCTGAGAAATGAAATTGACACAACATTGTTTAGATGTTGTGTAAATTTCATCTTATTTGAAGGGCAAATTTATAAATTTGACAAGTAACTTACCGACTAATAGAACTTTTTCTTCAAAATATTATATTAAGCAGTAACTTTTCTAGGTGAACTTTTCAGTTTGAACTATATTGCACTTGCATAGAATATATGTCGATCTAGAATGAGTTATTTTTAGATAGAGTAAGTTCAAAAGCCCAGTAAAATTAATAAACTCAAAGATCTTTTTTGAAATGTGTTTGGGAACCACTTGGGCAAGGAAATTGTCTTGGGTAGTATCAATAAATCATTCCATATTACTGGAGTTTTATCCCAACACCAAACCGTTATTTCTAACACCTCGACACGTGTTTCAAATTCCAAGTGATCATCTTCAAGAGGAAGATTAAGTTTACTCTTTCTCTTGAAGATTATCACTTGGTGATTGTAACACGTTTCGAAGTGTTAAAAATAATGGTTTGGTGTTGGAATAAAAGTCCAGTAATATTCATTACTACTCCAAAGGTTCCAAACACTGCATCACAAGTTCAACATGTTTAATAATCTGAATTCTGAAAGTTGGGAAAAGAAAATCCAAACATAAAGCAGTCTTGAAAAAATTATGTGTTTGCCAGTTATCAACACAGTACATTGTGGAACATTTCCTTGTGAAAATAATTTATTTACCTGAGATTTTGATACTGACTAATTTTTCAGCTATGATCCAGTTATCATTTATTACATTGAGATAAAATTTAATTCCTGTATTTTTCATTTGAAGTAAATAATTCTAGAGTTATAATTTTTTGTTTTTGTAATAATGGATCTATAATGATTTTCTTGTTTGGTAAACATTTCAGTAACGCGCTATATATGTATTGTTACTTTTTTCCCAGTGAATTCTACAATAATTGATTACACTGTACAATAATCAAACTCAACTTTATTTCACTGCCAATACGACCAAACATTCAAACTATTCAAACTAATATTCAAATGTCTATCGCCTTATTTGAATTCACTCCGAACCGCACTTCACTTGACTTCTCGATCGGGGTGTGGGTAACGTTTATATATGGTAATCGAATTTTCTCAAATCCAAGAGGGATTTTGCCAGAAGTCTATCGAAGCGACGCGGCATCTAACTAGAACAATCGCGAAGCGCACGTCGAGTTGAACGCGATCTTGGCCACTTCACAATTGATTTACGACGACCAGCGGCGGCCGGCGATATTTTTTGAGAGGATGATTTACAACACTTCCACCTACTCTGAGGTTGTAAGTCCTGAACAACATTCCAAGAGAGAACATCACGACCCATGTAAAGACTCAGTGTCTCTATGTGGGCAATTTTAGACTTGCTTCTGGATGACAATTGGATTCTGTATACCAGATCTTTGGTTACCAAGTAAGGTCCTTGCCATGGTCTCTCCAGTTTGGGACACAAACCTTGCCAAAGTTGGGATTGGTAAAGCCACGCTGCTTCGCCCTCTTTGAAGCTCACGGGCGTCGACTTTTTGTCAAATCTTATCTTCATCCTGTCGCTAGAAAGCTGTAATTTGAACCTGGCAAATTTGGGTACAATTTTCAGTGTCTCCATCAAATTTTTCACATACTCTGAAAGAGGTGTCTTTTGAGATTCATTGGGTGGACTGCCACACATTACACCTATCAGACGCTTCAGTTCGCGACCAGTCAACATAGATGGTGTGTAACCTGTCGCATCATGTGGGGAGCTCCTGTATGCCAACAGAAAGAGAGGAGCCAATTATCCAAATCTCTTCGGATACAAACATCGAGAGGTGCTATTATGCCCCTCGACCATTCCATCGGACTGTGGGTGAAAAGCAGTTGTTCTTGTCTTCTTTATTCCAAAGAAAATCATCATTTCCTTTCACAACTCTGATTCGAAGTTGCGGCCTTAATCCGGGTGTAACTCCTGGGATACTCCGTGTCTGGCAATTACGTTCTGCCATCGTTTTAGCCTCTTGGTTGGGTAAGGCTACTACTTCTGGCCATTTGGAATAACCCATCACAACTATAAAGTGGTTGTTACTGAATGTGATCATAGGAAGTGGTCCCAGAACGTCAACTGCGATTCTCCTGAAAGGGCACCCACTGAGGTACTGATTTAGCCTTTCTCTTTGCTTTGTCTTCGGACCCTTTCTCGAAGAGCACAGGACACAGCGCTTGCACCACTTTTCCACGTCTTGGCGGCAATTGACCCTATGTACCTCTCACGCACTCTCGCTAGGATTCTATTTACTTCGAAATGCCCTCCCTTGTGACCATCGTGGAGCTGTTCGAGTATACTCGTAGTACACGTCTTTGGAAGGATTATCTGGAATTTGTGGGTTCTTCCATCCGGGCTTTCCCATTTTCGAGTGAGTAGGTCATCGCAAATACAAATAGAGTCCCATTGTCCCATACCAATCCGGCCTCATTTTATTGTCAATCCATTCTCATTTCTTCGTCAATCCATTTTTATTTCTTCGTCAATCCATTCTTATTCCTTTGTCAATCCATTCTTATACAATTTTCAAAACTGGATCCTCCTGCGCTACGATGATATCTTACCTCGTCATTAAGGTAGTGTCACCCTAGGATGATGTTAATAATCGTACCACACCATGATCAGTCCGTATCCCTAGACAAGGGACCCTTACAGGTTTTACAGGTTACTACCATCCAGGTCAGAGGGAACCCGAAACAGCGGTAGGAAGGGGAGCTTATCTCCCTATCGAGCTGTCCATAAAGGAGTCGCTACCTTCTCGCGTTTGATGAAAAATTTTTCTCCTGGAAACTGGGTATCCTTGTCCTCCTGGTGTTGACAAAATTTGCATCTGAATATCAGTCACGGTCTTCTTGAGAGGCTATCTGCGTTTCCGTGAATCTTTCCTTTCCGGTGTCGAATTTCAAAATCGTAAGTTTATAATTTTTCGATCCATCTGGCTATTTGTCCTTCTGAGGTTTTGAAGTTGAAGAGCCACCGAAGTGCTGAGTAGTCTGACATTATCAAGAACTCACGGCCATATAAAAAGGAGAAGTAGTGATCCACCGCTTTGAGTACCGCAAGGGGCTTTTTTCTCGTGGCGCAGTAGTTTCTGTCGGATGTTCCCAGGGACTTCTTCGACAAATTCTTCTTCTTCTTGTACCTGAGAAAGTACGGCTCCTATTCCATGTTGAGATGCATCTGTGTCGGGTATAAACAAGCCCTTCTCCTTTGGGTATGTCAGGACCGGTGCGCTGATCAAATGTCTCTTCTGGGCAGCAAATGTTTGCTAGCAATCTGGGAACCAAACGAAGGCCATTCTTGTACTTCCTTGATTTTCTCTGGATCTGTTTCAACTCCTTTTGAGGACACAACGTTTTTCAAGAAATTAACCTTTTCCTGGAAGAGGCATCACTTCTTAAGATTGATCTGCAAATGAGCATACTGCAACCTCATGAAAACACTTCTCAAGTTTGACAGATACTCGTCAAAACTTTTTCCGGTGACTATCATGTCATCAAGCTAGACTAAGCATATTTTCCAGGTAAGTCCTCTCAGCAACAACTCCATCTAGCGTTCAAATGTTGCAGGTGTATTGCATAATCCGAACGTCATAAACTTAAACTATTATAATCAATTGCCGGTTGAAAAGGCACTCTTTTCTTTATCATCGGGACAAACGGCCACCTGCCAATTTCCGAGTATATATTATTAAGCCTCCTGTAGTCTACGCAGAATGTCGTCGATTCATCTTTCTCAGTCGCCAACACAACAGGTGACGACCAGGGGCTATTTGATTCCTCGATTATTCCTTCCTCCAACATGTCCTTGATGATGGATAAAACTTCGTCCTGCTATTCGAAGGGACGTCGTCTCGGTGGTATGGGTTTGGCATCGCCAGTATTGATGCAATGTTGAACTAAATCCGTTCGACCAATGATTTTGCCTGAACATATCGTTTTGGCATCGCCAGTATCGATGCAATGTTGAACTAAATCCGTTCGACCAATGATTTTGCCTGAACATATCGTTTTCTTCTACGAATCGGGTAGCCTTGCATAGTTCTTCTTCAGATTGATGGCTCCACATCTTCTTAAAAGAGTCGATGAGTTCCTAGGCGAGTTGTTGAGCACGCTGTAGAGAAACTTCTTTCTCGATTCTTGCAATGTTCACGATCGGTTCGCAGGTGCCTATTACTCGGCCTTTTTTGAGAGTCACCCTGTTATTCTTGGGGTTGATTATTCTTACTGGAATGGTCTGATTGTTACCATTTACTTTCCACGAAAATTCCTGCTTCAGAGCTGTTGGATGGCTCATACATCAGTTTTTTTATGTCTACCACAAATCCGTTGAGGGATATGATATCTAGTCCCTAGTCTCACATCAGATTCTCCATAGACCGTCAATCTATCTGCAGTGGCTGTTTCCAGAACGAGTACCACTGATAACTTCTTCAAACTGCTTCTGTTGGAAATGTCGGCTCTCATTACTGACCTCGTTGCTCCAGTATCGACGGTGAAAAGGCAATGGTGATTATTCAGAAATCCGTCGACAACTAAGTTTTTACTGTTGCGTCTTATCGTGGAAATTGAATACCTAAAAACTTGGAATGCAGCAGCCAATGTACCCCCCTAACATTGCCTATATTTAGTTTTCTGAACCCCGGCGCTCTAGTTCGGGTGATTCAGAACGCCAGTCTTCTCTCCTCGGATGCCGAACGTGATCGACAATCCCACCTCAAATGTCCCTCTCTACCGCAATTATAGCATTTGGGCCGCCCTCTTGCCTTGGGTTCAGGACGGTTTATCAAATATTTCTTAAAGAATTCCTCTAGTCTAGAAGTCTAGACCAACCATGAGTCGATCTGTTCCTTCAGCTACAACACCAGAAGGAATTATTTTATCTATCCACATCATAGATTTATCAATCACAGAAGAAAGTTCACATTATGCAACAATAAAATTTTACAATAAACTACTGCAACAATTAAAAAATTAATTCTCAAAAAGAAATTCAAGACAGAAGTTGAAAAGGTGTTCAAAAGCTGGAACATTATTGTGATAATGATTATCTTTACAATAGTTATCAGAGATTTATTTATGATTTGAGATGACATCATTCAATTCTGTGTTGTAAATTATTATTTTTTTTGTATTTATAGACACAATTTTTTGATTGAACTTTATTATCATTCTTTTGAATAACAAGATATTAGTGACACTGCAAAAACTATTCAAAAAGTAACACTTCCAGAAAAATTATTTTTCTTATTAGATATCAGCCTTGGATACTTTGTTGTGTGAACTTATCAAAAGGAAGTTTTCTTGTATGAAAAGCTGCCTTTGGTTTTCAAGGTATTAATAATATTGGCTACTTGAATCCCAGAATAGTTGAAGTTTTTTGTTTATATATGCGAGCTGAAACTGGGGAAAATTAATCATATTGGAAACAATTATATTCATATCAGGTGTCCCTAGGAACATTTAAAATTCTCTTTCTCAGATTGGGCTGTGAGGATTTCTCTGATCCACCTGCAAAACCAACGCCAAATGAAGGTGCTACTAGATCGCTATTTTTCCCTGACGAAGTAATCTTTCCTGGTCATCCAAGGTTCAAAAACTTGTCACGAAATATCAGAGAACGACGAGGAGAGAAGGTCGCCATAAATTTACCCAGTAAGTTGATGATAATGATAGTAGCATTTATTTAGTGATGCGTTTTTCCGTTAATCGAATGACAACCCTCAGAAGTCGAAACTTGTGCGAGCTAAGGACTAGCGGGGTCTTACCTTTCAACGTGTGATTCCTAACACGTCATGTAATATAAAAATTATTATCTATTTCTCACATGACCTTCAATGTTTTTAAAATGTTCATAGAAACCGAGAACTGACTTATTTCATAGTGATTCAATAGGTCATTGTAAGAAAAAGTTTCTACGAACATATAGTCCGTTTCTGAGATACAGGACTTGGCAATAATTTATTCTGTGAATCATATGAATGTTTTTTTTATATACTAAATTTATTGAAACTAGTGGCTTTATTCAGTTGCCTTCCAAAACGTCCCTGAACTGACTATGTCAAATTTGATTAGTATCCCAAAATACAAGAAGTAATAAAAGTTAGTTCCATGTTTGAGACAAACCGCGGGATGTAAAATTAATTTATGTTCCATGTTCATGATATGCAATAGAATGGCTTCAATTTTTTTTATCGAAAACGAAGTTAATTGTAGGGGAAACATAAGAGACGAAAAAGTTGTATTTTCAGTTGTTTGATCTGATTAAAAAACTGCAATAAACAAGGCACTGGGCTACTTTTTCGTCTCAATATTATCGGCTGTGGTGCTCACTGAGACCTAATAATTTCACTCTGGTTAGGGCTGAATAAACTACTTATCACTTTAAATAATTGTGGAAGATTTTTACAAATTGTTTTGAAAAATCGAGAGAATGTAAGACATCTAGGAATAAAATATTAATTAGTTATTCTCAATAACATTACTGAAAATTTTGAGTATCTTCACCTTTATTGATATGAAAAAAATAAAAATTGTAAAATACTCCCAATATACTTCGATATCTGTCAATGAAATTTGAAAATAACATGAATTCGTGAGAGAAATCGGCGAAATGTGATTCACAATTCTGAAGACAGGGGCAGATTTAATCTCCGAGCCTTAGAATAAGTGTAAATAATTTTTTTTTATAGTCATAACTATCTAATACGGCAAGATAAAAAGATCATTTTTTCATTAAATATATATTGAATTTATGCAATAACTCATCAGAGTGTACCAGAAAATTTTCTCACCACCTATATAAAGTTCTCCATTACAGTTTTTCTACATTGAGGAAAATACCCAACGAGGTTAATGAAAACACTGATTTCGCACACATAATATTACTTTTGCACAATACTTAAGTACTACCAATAAAAAAAGTGCGAACTCTTCTTTGATCAACCAGTCCAGATAAATTCAGCATTATCGTTCTAAGTACAATGTTACAATAACACCAGGATTTTGTTGATATTGTAAAGAATACATTTGATAACAGGACCCATCAGAGATCAATACAATTTGATGATGTAATGCTGTTGCATGGTAACATCGTTTTTGTCTCTGGTATCATTTAGTCTTCTCTTGTTTGCAATGAAAGCTATAAAGAGAAAGACAAAGTTGGTGGTTGATTTTAAACTCAATGTTGAAGCTTGGATTTGCAACATTAGTGCCATTGGGACCCTCCTTTATCGTTGATGGTGTCTTCATCTTCATGTCAATTCACTGCGGCTCATTTCAAAATAGTAGAATAAGATCGGAACAGCAAGCATTTTTTAGCTTGATTATTTTGATGCAAGATCTATCCGATTTGTTCTGATACTTGTTAACCTCTTAGAAAAGGTTTTGTTTGATCATTCCTGAGACACACACCTGACATTTCTGAGACACACATCTGACTTAGTCAGGTGTGTGTCTCAGGAATGATATAGAATGAATAATACTGAAGTTCTATACCAACACCATAACGTTATTTTTAACACCTCGGAATACGGTTTCACTTGAATGTTTTAATCAGGTTTTGTACTTTCAAATGATTTCATTGACAAAAAGATTTTGAAAGGTCATAAATCAGAGTGTCAATGTTTGGAAATATTTAAATCTTTCCAATGATAGCCTTAATAGGAATACTAACAAAATACTCAGTTTTACCCGAGAGTTCAATGCACTAAACCTCACAACTCCTGATGGAAATCCTATTTTCAGAAACCATCAAGAAAACTCAAGGCAGAGAGAGAGAGATATTTTTAATGTCATAAGAAATACATCTTGTCGACAAACATTCTTCTGCTAAAAAAAAAGAACTATAAATATTAATAAATTGTTAAGTAAATATATAAATGTACTAATATACACAAATGAGCACATACACAAACAGTATCTTTGTTAAAGTGTAATCTTGTAATTGAGTAATTTTTGTATAAATGTATAAATGAAAAACGCCGCTACAAAGAGAAAGAAAGCTATATATATATACAAACATATATACAATCATACATATATACACATGAATATTATTATGTGTCGAGGTTATCCTCAAAAAATTCATTTAATGTATAGTTAAGCCCTCTTGACCAGAATTGCCTTCAAGTTTCTCCTAAAAGATAGTAGCGTGACACATTCTGTCGAACTGTTAGGTAACTTGTTATACATTTTCACTCCTTTTTTATATATGATTGAGTTCTTGATTTGACTACTTGTTGGGATAGGAGAAGTAAAGGTACCTTTGTTCTTGTGCATAAAGCAAGCTGATTCAAGAATAGACAATGAATACACAGTTAAAATTCCATGCAAAAAAACAGTGGCTTAAAGTATCATTCCACTTTGCTCCAAAGAGATACCGTACCGCACGTTTTTTAATATGATAACAGATTGGAACAGCTGTTTACTGCATACACCCCAAAATGCTATGCCATACCTTAGGTGAGAGTCTATAAGGGCATAATAAACATTTTTTGCTGCGTGAAATCCTAGTTCTTTTGATACTATTCTGAGTGCAAAACACCCTGAGGAAACTTTCTTATTATACTAGTTTTTTTATTGTTAAATGACAGCAGATTTGCATCGCACCATTGTTTAATTTCACTGAGGTCGATACAGATGCTTTCATACAAATTCTGTTGATTTACATCTTGCCACAAAAGTGTGGTATCATCTGCAAAATGGTGAAACTACCAGAAATACGTACAATAGCCAGGTCATTTACATATAGTAAAAAAAGTATGGGTCCTAAGATCGATCCTTGGGGTAGTCCTGCTTTCACATTCTTTGTACTTGAGCAACTATTGGTTTTCACAAATTGTCTACGTCCTACAAGGTAGGATTCAAACCATTTCATTGTTGATTTATAATTCTCCAAATAAACTCCTTTAATTAATAAAATTTCACCTTGAAACATCAGATAAACTTCAGTCACATGTAAGATAATCAATATTTTTAACTGAAACAATGAATATGATAAGGCAATGTAAATCAAATATTTGTTCTTTTTTCAAGTGTTAAGAGAACTCCTTATCTATTGAAGCATGTTTTCCTATTAAAGCAGCATTTTAATAAATATCACTCATGACATTTTCAAATTTTTCATCGAAAATTCACCAATAGAATTATATCTGAAAGTTTTTGAAGCCCACAGGTGTTTGTATGTTTGAAAAAAGACCAATGGTATTCAAAAATTGAAAGTGTATTAGATTCCCTAGAACCCAAATGATTACATTTCATTTGAACATCTGTAAATGATTTGTAACTATTATCATGAATAGAGTAATTGATTTTCACCAAGTAACTCAGTGTATTCAAAATGAAAAATTGAATTATTCCAGATGTTGTTTACAAATTTCTGTAGAACAGCATTTGTCATATTGAAACAGGTTATTCCAGACGAAGAAATAATTAAACAATTTACACGAACATTAGAGAATATATTTTCTTTCTGAAAATAAAGATTAGGAAAAAAATGGAATATTTCTGAAAAACAAAATTCCGGTCCTCTATAAAAACTAAAAGGGATAAAAAGTAATTAAATTAGTTTAGTGAGCCCAATGCCTCTCTGACCCCGAAATTTTAATCCCTCAAAAGTGTCTTGGAAGGGAATGGGTATAACGAACTCGAATTTGAGCAACGATACGACACATAAGTGAGAAATTGTCACCTCAGTCATACCGACAAATTAGCTCTAGCTGAACATGCTCTCAAGTGATTTGGTTCGATGAAACTCAAACACTTGGCAGAAAAACTCAGAATTACTATCCAAAAAATATAAAGAGAGGTAATAGAAATTCATAAATAGACAATTTCAATCGAAAGGAAGAGAGAAGTGGCATAAGCAAAATCTGGCTACCTGTTCTAAGTTGCATACAAATCAGATCATTTAATTTAACCAACAGGAATGGAGCCATACTCACCACCAATGGAATAAACCCAAGGATACTTTCCAACGATGTAGTATCTGCTATGAGAACAACCCTAGCACTTTATCCATTTCCTCATCACTGTTGATAATGTCTATGACAATAGTAGACAAAACGTCCGGCATAAAAACTTGCAGACCATGGCCAACAAACCCAGAAAATAACTTAAGTCAATGTTATTTCCGGCAGTGAAAATTAATATTCTTTGATAACTGAACGTTGTCTATGGTTCAGATATGGTATGAAAGACTCTAATTCTGTAGATATGGAAAAGAAATTACGCTGTTGCAGAAAAAAAAATACGGAGAAAGAAGAAATACATTTATTGTCCTAAACAAACAAGTTCCTGTTGACAAATGCTTTTGAGTTATGGTAAAAACAATATAAAATTAATCCATATAACAAATATTATCTATACACACTATACACATGTATAGATAGTATAGAAATATTTTTTTAATGAGTTATTGTAATATGAATTCAAATCATAATAAGCCTTATCAATCAGAATATTGCTTTGTTTCTTCCTGAAAATAAACAAGGGATAACTTTTCAGGCTCATAATAATTTTATTGTACATTTTTATTACATTGTATTTCAACGAATCTTTTATCATCGTTGTCATGGGCAGAGGAAGTCTGATTAAGTTAGTTTGACTTAAATTATACTGTCACTATTCAGAATGATCAAGAACAGATATATTTATATGTATCAAACTTAACACTTGCGCTTGATATTTCTAAGACTTTTGACTGTGTGTGGCATGAGGGTTTGCTGGCCAAACTTCGATGATATGGCTGTCTGATCATTTTTGTGTATGGCTCTTCAGCTTCCTGAAAGAACGTCCCCTGCAAGTGGCCATCGATGGATATCTCTCGAATACTTTCATCATAAACGCTGGTGTTCCCTAGGGATCCATATTGTCTCCAACTATCTCTTTATTGTATATCAACGACTTATTGAGAAGAAAAAAACAAGAATCCAATATATTGCTTTTCTGACGAGAGCACACTTGCCTCTTCATTCCATTTGGATTCCAGGACATTGGCTGCGGATGCACATCTTCACCGACAGCAGGAAGCTGAATATCTTAATGAGGATCTAGAACTACTTTCGAATTGGGGTGAAAGTAACTAGGTTCAATTAAATGCCACAAAAACCCAGGCATCGGTTTTCTCCAAAAAGTTAAATGGCTCTGAACCGGATATAATAATGTCAGGTCAGACAATTCTGTTTTCTGCTTTGATAAGTTTGTTGGGGGTTAAAATGGACACCAATATGTCTCAGCACAATCATGTCGTTGGAATTGCAAAGGCTGCTTCTGTTCCGAACCAGAAAACTGTACACACCTCAGCAACTTTTGATGTTTCATAAAGCTCAGTATAGATCAGGCCGTCTTTGTAGTATTATTCCATCCATCCAGAAAAGGAGCATCCGCCTGATTGGAGACGCGAACATCACTTGCAACCTTGATAGTCTGGATCATCGAAGAAAGGTTGGGATTTGTCTCTTTTATATAGATACTTTCACGGGAATTGTTCAAGTGACTTGGCACATTTGATTCCACCAAGAGCGGTACATATCAGAAATATGCGACGGACTATGGCTGCTCATCGTTTTGTGGTTAAACTCAGTACACATCAAACTTCATTGTTTAAGAACTCTTTCATTTGGAGAACGACGTTTATGTGGAATACACTTTTTGAAAACGTTTTTTTCAAGTGAATTTAATCTCCAGCGATTCAAACCAATGTAATCACTACTTTCGCTCAGGCACCGCTCTAAGAGCGCCTTAAGGATTGTCCTGTTGTGCTTGTGTTTTATCCTTAAAAAAACTGTTTCAAGGATAAATAGGGAAATCGTTGTTTAATGAATAGTGGTTTGCAGGGATCTCAGAACATTAACCTACACACATACTAGATAGCTTGTTTTGGTAAAACAAAAACAGTTTGCAGCATATTTTTGCTGCATACTCCCCACTTGACGATACAATGTCTGATATGTGCATCTACAAAGGCAAAGTAAAAAGATCTCGCAAATATTGTATCTAGATCTCTTGAAGCTGACTTGATGACAAAACAGTTCGATGCGAGTTTTTGTATTCTGAATGATTATATGCTCCTTTTTATCCCAAGAATTAAGAGGACATTTTTACCACGAAGATGTTGGGAATTACACGTTAAAAGGTAAGACCTCGTTAGTCCTTAGCTCGCACAAGTTTCTCAACTCCTGAGAGTTGTCGTTCGTATGGGGGCGACAGCTGATTAACAAAGGTTCCAAACAGTGCATCATAAATGACCTGAATTTATATCACTTTGAAGTGAACCTTATAGAGAAAATTGAAAATTTTATCGTTGGTGTTTCTGTTATTGATCACTTAGTGATTGAAACACGTGTCGAGGTGTTAAAAATAACGATTTGGTGTTGGGATTAAACTCCAGTAATCTGTATCTGTAGAGTAGGAAGGGTGAGTGTAAGCCCACAGTACTTAGGCCGGATGTGACCCATTGTACATCCTCCCGATGAGTAGCCCTCCTAGATCATCGTCCATCCTGTCCTTTCCAGAAAGGTGGACAGGTCACTTGTATACATCTTCTTTATATCGGCAGGTGTAGGCCAATACTCGCCGAACATACACTCTCTTATTGACGATAACTCCAGGCACTCGCATAGGACATGCCTGACAGTCACATTTTCCTATTCACACATTCCTGCATAGAGGTTTGTCCACTAGCCCCATATTATGAAGGTGTTTCCTTAGTTGGCAGTGGCCAGTCAGAAATCCTACTGTTAAACGTAGATTTTTCCTGGTCAGCGCCAGATATTTCTTCGGCGCCAGCTTTCCAGGGTGATCCTGGCAAGATTGAATTTTTTGATTCTATCTCATCTCTTTAGGGATTGAGCATAGGTGTAACATTTGCCTAGTTCCGCAATTGTCGAAGTCATCAGGCCGTAGGTGCCACTGGGTCCTAAAATTATTAGTCCAACCGCTTCCTTGGCTATAGAGTTGGCAATGCGATTACCTTTACTCCTGTCGTGCCCTTTAACCCACCTCGGGATAATGTTATTATCTACCGAGGCTTTGGCTAAATCTTGGTGGCACTCTAGTACTAGCAATGAGGTAACACGTTGTCTGTTCAAGCCTAATAGGGCTTGTCTGCTGTCAGGGCAGATTGTTATGTTTTTGCCAGAAATTCCTTTCCTGGTTGGTGGCGGTTGGTGTTGTTCTCATGGTTCCTGTGATGTTTAAACAAGCCAGTCGCTGTATTTGATATAATTTTTGGATGGCCGTTGCTTGCAGAATTTTCGGTCCCCATGCAATGGCTCCGTACGTTAACATAGGTCTTATTATTGCAGTGTAGATCCAGGTGACCACACGGGGTGAAAGACCCCATGCGCGTTCCACTGTCCTCCGACATTGCTCATAAGCCGCATATGCTCTTTTTGCTCTACCCTGTAGGTGAGAGTTCCATGTTAGCTTCCTGTAGAGGATAGTACCAAGGTATTTCACCTCTTCAGAGAAGTTGAGTTTGCTTTTGAAGATTTCGAGAGGTTTTAAGCCCGATAAACTTCTTTTCCTGGTGAAAAGGACCATCTCAGTCTTCTTGGGATTGATCGACAGTGAGTGTTCCTTACACCATGTTTTTATCAATTTGAGCCCATCCTGCGCTCTATCGCACAGTGTGTTTACAAATTTGCCGGTGTGCAAGATAACTATGTCATCTGCATATGCAATTGTGTAGAATCCATTACTGTATAGATGATTAATCAGGGTATCCAGAACTATGTTCCAGAGAAGGGGTGATAAGACTCCTCCCTGTGGACATCCCCTCATGACCAGTCCTCTAACTGTGATGTATTCTACATTGATACTTATTGCTCTACTATAGAGCATCTTCAGTATCCATTCTCCTAGTACTCCAGTAATATTCATCACTACATCAAAGGTTCCAAACAGTGCATCACAAATTTTAGTATTTAACAAGTGATATAGGTCTATAGTTCATTGGATGATTTTGATACCTCCTTTGAAAAGTGAGATAACTACAAAAGTTTTCACAATTTGAGAAAACGAGTCATTCACAAAGGAATCATAAATATGACAAGAGCCTTTGAAACGCAATACTTGGGTAACTGATAGACATGTCATTGATACTTTAATTCAAGTATATCCGCAGGACTTCACTAGAATGCAAATTGAGAAGAAACTATGAAACAAGAATAAAAGCCACGAAATAAAAAACTTAATCCAATAACTGAAATTAGAGAAATATTAGAAAAAAAATTAAAAAAAACTAATCAGGAAAATTTGGGATCAAATTAGTAATAAATATAAAAATATAATATAAAAACGTATGATATTATATAATCAAATGCCAAATTGTTCCATTTGTTTTTTCAACTGTAAATGTGAAAACAAAGAGGTCATGCTCAGTCTAATTATTGAAACATCCATTTCTGTTCATGAAATCTGTTAGACATTGATTCATTCACAAATATGTAAGATTTGTCTTTTGTCCAATCAAATAAAACTATGAAAAACATTTCTCTTCTGACACCGAGGTTTCCCAATGTGATACTTTTGACCCCCCCTTTAGATATAAGGGTTTCCTCCACCTCAATAGGGGTACAATGAAATACTCCTTAAAATTATTGTATATCCATATTGATAATATTATGTATGAATGCAAATGTGTCAATAGTAAAAAGTTGTGACAACTGATCCATGTGGATACTATGTTATAAATTTTATGTTATCATTACCTTTGATTTTATATTTCTAGAAGTGGGTTCAATTTTGTTTCTATTTATCAGTATTTAGGGATAAAAACACCAAAATTCCGGTAGATGATTCCTTCAAGCATAGTAAAGCGGCTTTACCTGATCATGTTTACTTGGATGCTATGGGTTTTGGAATGGGTTGTTGTTGTTTACAACTCACTTTTCAGGCTTGCAACATTCAAGAAGCTAGAACCTTATATGATCAACTCACACCTTTGTGTCCAGTTATGGTGAGTCTATTTTTGAAATAACTTGTTCTATTTGAAAGTAACCACTATGTTTCTGAAAAAACATTTTTCATTCCCTTTGGGTGTTTTCACATTCCATAAAATGAAAAATATTAAAATTTTTATGGAGACATTTGTACACATCTGTCTCAAGAAGTTGAGGAGAAAACTAAATAATCTTAAATTTTGATGACAGAGGCAGATTTTCAGTCTCCGAAATGTTGAGATAAGTATTGTATAATTTTTTAGCTCTTTTTTTTAACGGTAAAATCATTGAATACATCAAATCACTGAAAAACAGAACATTTTCATTTGTGAGAAATACTTTGAATTCACACAGTAACTTATCGGGGTGAACTAAAAAGTTTGCCTTTTCTGCTCATGTGTAAAGTTCTCCATTACAATTTTCAGATTGTGAAAGGTAAAAACACCCAAAGAATATCGATAAAAACTGATTTTCCTTCACAAAAATGACTTTCCTTCAGTATTATTATCCTAAATTCAAAAATGTATGTTTTGTATGAATGAAAAAGTAGAATGTTTTTTTCCAATATATAATCAATTTACGAATTATATAAAAAATAACTTGTTTGAATGAACAACTTCAACATTATTTTGTCAATAAAAAATGAATTTACGAATTATATAAAAATTAACAATATTGTTGAATATTTTTGTTGGTTTTTTTAGCATTTCCTTGTATAACCTTTCCTTTCATGATCGGGAGACACAATCCCGCGATGAGCGTTGTACCTATGTTGTAGGACACATATTTGTATTGAAAACTTCCTGAATGGTTTTTGTTCCATCGACATATGCGTCGGCGGCAACAATACAAATATGTATTCGTACTTGTATAACACTCGCCGCAACATTGTGCATGTGATCATGATAACTCGACTTAAGAAGCAATTATAAGACTGACATAATGACACATGACGTTCAAAGTAATTTTTAAATATGGCAATTGTAGAATGTTGAATGCGCGATAGAAATTCAAATAATCATATGAGACAGAAACATACGTCAGAAGGCTCTATGAGTGGTAAATTCAGCGTGTGGCCAAATATGTACTTTTGAATACATTAAAGCATAAATCTAAAGTAGCTTCACATATGTACTCCTGTCATTCCTTTTTGAGTGCGCTTTATTTTGAAATTATTGGATATCAAATAATATTGAAGCTTAGTAATGTAAAAAGATTCGTTGGAGAAATAATAGTTCACAAATACTGTATTGCATAAGTACCACTGTGTTTAAGGCAAAAAGGCATTTGTACAAAACTTCAAGTAAGAATCAGAGTTATCCTATTTCCTTTTTTTACACTATCATTTATTTATACACTCTACTTCACTTGTATAGGAAATTCTTGAGTAAGAATAAACATGAGGATGATTTTTTTTCAAAAAGGACCAGAAATTCAAAAAAATTGTGACATTTTGAAGATTTTGTGTAGAAACATGTGAGAATGTATATCGTTGAATAACTATTAGTGACAACTACTTTCAGTAAGTGGATGTTGAAATCTACATCTAGTGTTGTTTTTAAAAAAGACAGCCACTTTATGTTAAACTGATTAGTAATGATTTCCCTCCAGCTAGCATTCACTGCTGCCTCCCCAATTCATCGTGGATTTCTAACAGATGTTGATTGCCGCTGGAACATAATTTCAGGCTCTGTAGATTGTCGAACTGAAGAAGAAAGGGGTCTCAAACCGTTGAAAGAAAATAAATTTGTCATAAAAAAATCTCGTTATGACTCTATTGACTCCTACCTCTCACCGCAAGGCGAAAAATACAACGATATACCTCTCTTGTACAATGAAGAAGATTATAAGAAACTAGTGGATAATGGTATCGACCATTTATTAGCTGGACATATTGCTCATTTATTCATCCGAGATACAGTTTCATTATTCTCAGAGAAGATCCATCAAAATGACGAGGAAGATACAGATCACTTTGAGGTTGGTTGTTATTTGAGAATTAATCATTTGTTTCAGTAACTTCACTTTTGTCTTTAGAATATCCAGTCGACCAACTGGCAAACTATGAGATTCAAACCACCACCCCCTAATTCAACCATAGGTTGGAGGGTGGAGTTCAGGCCTTGTGAGGTTCAAATTACTGATTTTGAAAACGCTGCTGTTGTTTGTTTTGTTGTACTCCTGACACGAGTGATACTTTCATATCAACTCAATTTCTTGATACCCATCAGTAAGGTAAGATTTTGGTGATATTAGTTTCTTTATACTTAGTTGACTTTGAACAATTCTTCTTTTACTGTTTACAATACTACTGTTTTGGATCGTCCATTGACAATATAATTAAATATCTGCATCAAAACTAGTACCATCCCAGATCTATGGTAATTATCTAAAGTTCTGTCAATTTCGGGACAAATTTGATGTCGATAGTTATAGACCCATATCAATAATATGCAACTTTGCCAAAGTGTTCGAAATCCTTAATCTATAGCAGGTTATATCCTCACTTGAGCAATCAACCATCGATAGGAGATCCCAAACTGATGTCATATATACGGACTTCTCTAAGGCGTTCGACAGACTTGATCACGGATTACTTCTATCGAAATTGTACAGGTACGGATTTTCTCTGACCCTCATCCAACTTTTTGTATCTTACTTCTCCGACAGGCTTCAGTTTGTTATATTCAATGACTTCAAGTCTGTGGAATATACAGATACCTCAGATGTTCCACAAGGAAGCTACCTAGGTCCACTTCTCTTCAACGCCTTCATAAACGACATAGTTGAGATCATTAACATCAACTGTTTAATATACGCGGATGACCTTAAATTATATTGTGAGATCAATGGCATCGAGGACTGTCTTCAACTCTCTGAAACGTGTTGAGCAATGGTGTTTTCGGAACAATCTTCCTTTAAACGCAAGTAAATGTAATGTAATGACATACACACTAAAAAATCGTCCATTTTCATGTCAATATCTAATAAACGAAATTCCACTTCGACGGCATCTCACATTCACCAATCTAGGTGTTCCTTTCGATACAAAACTTTCCTTCATGCCACACATTGAAGCCATTGTGTCTGCTGCAAACAGGATATATGGATTCATTGTGCGAATCTCCAGAGATTTCTCTGATTCATCTACATTGAAAATCTTATACTAAGCTTTCGTTAGATCAAAATTAGAATAAACCTCGATAATCTGGAATCCATTTCATCAGTTGTATATAGGAAAAGTTGAATCAGTACAACGTCATTTCCTAAAACTTCTCTCCTTTAGGTCAGATAACATCTATCCACCAATGGGATTTTCCCATGATGCATTGTAAGCTATATATGCTATGATTAGCTAGAGTTGCCGTCGTGATTGTTACTCCACAATTTTTCTTTTTGAACCAATTAATAAATTAATTATTGACCCGCATAGTCTGCAAAAAACTTAATTCAATGTACCTAGACTAACCTCTAGAGTGGATAATCTTTTTTATTTACCGCATACAACAAATACAATACAACACCACATACAAATATTCTGAAACGTGTGTTTCAGAATATTTGTATGTGGTGTATTTGTTTCTGCTTAACATGTGTGTCAAATGCAACTCAGCAAGTTGTCAGCTCGACATGATTTACTGTTCCATCTCTGAGATTACGTCTTTTTACTTCAGCTGATTCTACATGTATTTTTTTACCTTATAACTTATTGTAATTTGACTTATATCCCTGTTCTGTAGTTTAGTGTAACCTATAGAACAGTGTATGAATAAATAAATAAAATGAATAAATAAATCTCAAAACTACAATTAACTACATGATGAAATTCTAGTAACACTAAGATTTCATGCACCGTTTGATAAACTTTGCTATAAAGTGTTAGAGAGTGTTATATTTATTTTTTTATTCATTGAGTTGTTGAGGTATTGCTTTTTTTATTGTAACATAATTCAAGGTATATCCTAAGAATTTCAAATATGTTTTTCAAAACATTTTCAGTTTTTCACATATTTCTATATATTTCATAAATGAGCTTTTAGCTTTGTTAGAAAGATAATTTCATAAATAATGTATTAAAAGGTTTCAAGCGTTTTTTGGTGAACATATTACTCCAGTTGCAAGATATGTAATAAAATTCAAGATGAAACTTACGACACATCATGATGAATAAAATAAATCAGAACAATTCAATTTGCCAGTAATGGCGTAAGATATTGTATGTTCAAAGTGTGTTTTTCTGTTAACCAGACGACCTCCAGAAATCGAAAAAAACACTTAAACGTTTCACGGTTTCCATAAAAGACTCAATATAATACTTGCAGTCTCACATTAATGTGCAATATGCAAGCTTAAACCACAAAATTTAAAACAGTGTCTGATAAATCTAACATAGGTTGAATTGAGTTCTATTGTGATTTTTACATATCTGTACTGTTATAAATAATATCATCTCTTTTAAAGTTTCAGCAATGACTGACTAAGCTCGACCGTTGCCCCATCGCTTTTGATGTCTGCCGCAGTAGCAGACGAAACGTCAGGTATAAAAACCTGCAGGCAAAGGCTAACAAAACCGGAAATATCGGATAATTTAAACATTAATTAAAACTTTGAGTTTGTCAGATAAAAGTAAATATTGTATCATCCTTTTACAGGAAGGTGAATTCCCTGGGCTTATTCCTCTAATAAACAGCTACTTGAGTAACATGGACGTAGATGCAGACACACACTGTACAATTCAACAGTACCTCAAGTTTATACAACGAAGAGCATCAGGAGAAATACTAACCACTGCTTCTTGGATAAGGAAGTTTGTGATGGAACATCCAGATTATAAGTGAGAAAAAGAGAATTACCTGAAACAAGAATTTATTTTTCCATTATTCAGTCTTTCTCAAGTCTTTCATGTATTTTTATATTATATTGATATATTTCAACATAAAGGAGAGCACACATTATTTTTTTAAAAAAGTTGAAGTAAAGGAAACCAAAAATGTAGTTGATGTTTTTTTTTTTCAGGCAAGATTCTATAGTATCGGAGAAAATCAACTATGACTTATTGAAGACTCTAGAAGATATTCAGAGCGGTGAAAAATACTGCCCATTACTTCTGGGACAGAGCACTATGTCTAAAACAAAAGAAACTGTACCTTCGGCCTTGAAGGAAGGATGTTAATAATCAATCAGTTAAATTGTCTTGTGCAGTTGGAGTAGACAATTTCAAGTTTTCGAGTCAGTTTTATTCTTTTTAATTAGAAAAATATATAATTGACAATACAAAAACAGGGTGAATGAAAATAAACGGAGGACAAAGAAAAAATTATTGAAGTTTGCATTTGAAATTGCAATATCAACTGACATTCTACATCCTAAAAATAATTGAAATTAATTAAATTAGTTTGAGTTATGAATGAATGTTTTCCCGATATTTTGGGCGTAAATGGTTCATAATTTCAACATTTTGTCAGATATCTTTGAATTTTCCTATCAATATTGGTTTTAAAGGTTCTTTTGGACAATATTTTTTTAAGTTAATGTTATAACTGTCAGGGGTAACTTAACGTTAGTCAGTATTTTAAAATAACGGGGCTTTTATTCTTGCAATTAAATATTACACAAACAGTTATCCTTAAATGTTATTTTTAATCATGTTTTTATATGAAAATAAATTTTACCAAAGTAACATTTTATCAACTTGTTGTTTCCTACAGTATCCTACAAATAATGTCAAGATACAAAATCACGCGGCTTGTTAAGTAATGGAAAAGTTCCGTCTAGTGAAAACTTTCACGGTCAAAGGTATTGTGGGTCAGCAGAATTTTATGTCTAACATTTCGTCTAAAATTGCAGACATCAGTTTGCCAGTTTTTTCACAATGCATTCTACGAGTACTGGTATACCGCAATTGTAGACGAAACGCGATGTGCTTGGTAGCTGAAAAATAACAGTTGCAAGTTCAGCTACAAAGTAGAACTTAAATATGGCAAGTGCGGCCTTGCTTAAACGTCGTGATAGTATCAAAGACAAGCGGATGTACAGTACACCCCAGGATACCATTTCAGCATGTGATACCTTCTAGGACTACACCAAAACACAGATAATTTTATCGGACATAGCACTCAAAGACGGAGCAAGAAATTGACACATGTTTTGGGCTTTTGGCCCTTCATCAGTATACTGCAGCTGATTGTGGGGATGGGCAACACTCGGTTGCCAAAAGAAGTAAAAATGCACAGAGCCATGCAGAAGTCAGCCGCACATTTGAGGTTTTGGGTAATATATCTTGTTTTAACATGAAAATTACTAAAAGCTGCCACGGAGGCAGCTTCAGCCTCCTGTGAGATACCCGGGTCCAGGAATTCACACAAATATAAAGATAATTAGTCCGACTCTGAAATAGAAAATCTATAATTACCTTCGTGAAGATGAGAAAGCGTTTAGTGGCCTGGTTTTTGTGAGGCTGCTACAGATGGTGTTTCCGGATGTAAAACAGGTTCTTATGTTGTACTTGGATCCAATTCTTCGTATCTTTTCTGATAATCCTCTTATGTAGGGAAGGGCAAGCACTGGTTGTGACGGCTTCTCTTCCTTTCGAGGCTCCTGCTTTCTTATAGCCAAAATCTGTTCCACCATCGCTTTGGAGTAGACATTTCGTTGAAGATCATTTTTTATGATGTCTAATTACTCCCCGAGACCTTCCTTCGTATTACAAAGTCCGAAAGCACGGTCTAATAGAGTGGTGGTTGGATTCATGGTTCAAATACTGTCCCGTGTGAGTGGGTTTTCGATATATAGATGTTTCCCACTTAGCGCGGTCCTCTTTACCAATACCTCTAAGAATGGCAAATCGTTGTAGGCTTCTTTCTCCATTGTGTAAGTGATGTTACGATGTGTTTCAGGAAGGCGTCTAGTTCAGTATTCTGAAATAGACGATCTTCAACGAAATGGCTACTCCAAAGCGATGGTGGAACAGAATTTGGCTAAAAGACAGCAGTAGCCCCGAAAGGAAAAGAAGCCGTCACAGCCAGTGCTTGCACTTCCTTACATCAGAGGATTATCGGAAAAGATACGAAGAATTGGATCCAAGTACAACATCAGAACCTGTTTCAGATCCGGAAACACTATTCGTAGCAGCCTCACGAAAACCAGGCCACCAAACGCGAACTGCGATTCCAAGAATTACATCTACCGGATACCCTGTGAGTGCGGAAAATACTATATCGGAGAAACTAAGAGACCATTGAATGTTCGCATTGCCGAGCACAAAAAACACACACAGCGAGGGGAAACCAACAAATCAGGAATAGTAGAGCATGTTTGGACCCATCAATACAACTTCGAATGGTCCCAAGTTGAGATCATACACAAAGAGGAACATTGGTTTAGGAGGAAATTCAAAGAAGCCGCATACATGTTATCCAACAGTGTTTTCAGCCAAGCTAGCGTAGAGATACACAACATATGGAAATCCATAATCAAGCGAAAAATTACCAACTCCCGCCAAACGGTCATATCGCACTAAACCAGTGAAGCGGAAAAAGGAAAGCAGAGATAAGTAAAAGTACTCAAATGATCTATAAATAGTCAGCTCACGGAGGAATCAGTCCAGTCATCACCCGAAGACGATTGTGGATACTAACAATCGAAAGGTAATGAAGTAACTTGCCTTGGAATCTCATAACTTTTATTTTTATTTTTTGTTCAATTTGTTTCATTTTTACTTGTATTTTATTTCACTTTTATTTCATTTCAGGTTTTTTGCTTAATATAATTGTTTTTTCAGCTATTAATTTTTATTCTTCTTTAGTTCTTTCAGGGATTTCAAATCATTATATATAATATCAGACAATAGAAGTCAAAACTAATGAAATTCATCATAAAACATTGTTAATCACCTTCAGACAAACCGATACCTCATATCTAAGTGTACTAGGTGGGTGTTACAGATTTATCTCTCGCCCCCTGGAAAAAGTTCATAAAATAAACAGGTAGGAGTAATTCTGAAATCACGAGAATACGTGAATAATCTTAGCCAGCTTTTCCATGAACTGAGCGTGATCGCATTCGCGTCGTTCATGGAAAATATTAAGCATATTTCATAAATCAGCCCGTTTTTTACAGAGCTGATTATGATAACTCCTAAGCGCCTTGACGTCCCTCGTCAGTGGGCTTTTCGGCAGAAAAAACTCAAAACCTCCGGATATGTTCAGTGACCGTCTCAACTTCTGCCAAATCTAACAGGTAATTCAATGAAATGTATATATAACTGTTCGTGCAAATACGGAGCACCTTATTCTGCATCGTCTCGAGTCTCCGCAGAGGAGTCCTCTTTATAGACAAGCGTATAACATAGCTGGTCTAATTACTTGTTTGTAGATTAGCAGCTTGTTATCAATACTAAGCTTCGAATCCTGTGCAATGAGCGAGTACATGCTTTTAACCGCCGTGTCCTCTCGTTGGATCGCCAAGCTCAAATGTTACTGAAAATTCAGGCTCCTATCCAGGATAACTCCCAGATATCACGCGCTCCTCAGTTACCCTTGGCTCGCAACTTCCCGAAGATCTTCACGTTAGTAATTTCCTTTAAGAAGTTGACGAGTTATGTTTTGTTAGGGTCAGCCTTGATTTTATTATGCCCATAGTACAGCGCACGACCAACCTGTCGAGGGGGATCCGAAGCCTGAAGCTGTTACTTCGCCACCTCGCTCGAGAACGAATGTTCGTATATCGCTGTCATCTGCGTATATACCTACATTCGTTCTCGGGAACATCGGAAAGTCGTGCGTGTATAGAGAGTACAAGTGAAAGGCTGGACCCCTGCTTTAATTGGATAATTCGTAAATGTGTTTGGTCCATTCTCACACAGAAAGTTTGGTTGATCATCATCCGCCTAATTGGAGACATGAACATCACTTGCAACCTTGATAGTCTGGAACATCTAACAAAGGTTGGAGATTTGTCTCTCTTCTATAGATACTTTCACGTAGAGTGTTCAAGTGACTTGGCATATTTGATTCCAACAAGAGCAGTACATATCAGAAATACGCGACGGACTGTGGCTGCTCATCGTTAAGAGGTTCAACTCAGTACACTTCGAACTTCACTATTTAAGAACTCTTTCATTTGGAGTGCTTGTGTTTTGCAATCTTCTGAAAATTAGCATAACTAATGAAAACATTCTTTTTCGTGTACATGAAAAATTAAATATAAATATCAACTGAATATTGTTTATTTCAAATACAACCTATAATTTTTTTACTTTAAGAACGAGCTAACCGCCTCAAAATATTTCAATGCATGTTGAGTTTCTGGAATGTAAATTATAGAGAAATTTTCCCAGAGGCTTCCGTTCTGATTTTACATCAGATGTGTCAAACAATGTTTGAATCGATGCAAAATGTTTGTTTTTCAACAAGGCCCTATGAAAAAAATCAGATACCGTCTAACAAATATGTGGAATTTTGACTGATTAACAGGAAGTAGGAAAAATGTAAATATGAAGGTTTCCCAAGTTGAGTATGATAATAAAGTTTTTATTCACTTATGTGTGACACATAAAATTGCCACACAATATTTCATCTATATAGGTCACAAAAATACCCTACCGAACTATTGTCAACTAACTTTCTATAAAGTAGTAGCTATCTGCTTCAATTCTAGAATTTTCCAGATTTTTTATTGTAAACTACCAGAGAAAGAAAAAATAATGAGTATACAGAAGACATTGGATTAGAACATTGGTAACTACACCCTCATCAAATACTCAAGACAGTAATTATTGGCAATTGAGAAGGCAAACAAATAAAAACAACATTTTTCTAACTGATATATTTCAAAACAAAACAGTAACAAATAAGAACTGAAAAAACTGTGGTCAAAAAATAATATGTCACATGACTGTGACCCTATCACATAACATATTGGGATTTTTATGTTCACAAACTGGACATTCAAATTTGGAGTCGGCCACTTGATTACCCTGAAAATGAGAATTTCCTCCATTAATTCCTTAAACCTGTGCATGCCAATTTTATACATTCAAAAAACCATGTTGAACAGTCGAAAGCGCAATATATTTCAAGAGCAATTATATTTATCATACCGATTTCGATACGCTCAAAAACTCTATTAGGAACTTTCATAAAAATACAAGATATATAATATAACCTTAGTGCAGAGTTGTACACCAAAATAATGGAAAACCTAACAGTTTATTTGAGGATAATAGGATGATAAATATTTCAAATCCTTCTCAAACAAAAATATTGAACGACAGTCATTTTTTGTTAAGAAATCAGAATTTTTACTGAACTTCTCTGAAACTTTTCAGAATCTGAAAATATAAAAATTAGTCATGGAGAACTTTATATAAGTGTAAAAAGAGTAACTTTTAGTTTACTCTGATGAATAACTGCGTAAAATCAATATATTTTCTCAATGAAAATTGATCTAGGGTAGAATAAATCCAAAACAAGCATTGCTCCCCAACATCAGAACTGCAACACTTTTTTCGATGCACATTTTATCAACCAAGTTGACGTTTTCAGGAGTTGATCCTAACTTTGAAACCCGCCCATTTATATCTAACTGGGTGCATTCGCACCTTTAAACACACATCAATGATTTCTTGGGTACAAACTGTCGTCAAGAATTTTCTCGAAAAAGTTTCTGATAATTTTTAACAGATTGATTCATATAAAAGTAAACGATTGCTACTTTCATATATTTAAAAGCATCCAGTAAACTTTTGGCATGTACCAATCTCAACAACAGGAGATTTATTTCATTCTATGCTCATTTTCCAAGGCGTATTGAGCGACACTAGACTTTATTGTTCACCGAAATCGGATGTGTGGTGTGTTCTTCAAAACGAGTTTTGATAGCAAGTAAGCCCACATCACTTAGGCCACATGTGACCCATTGTACATCCTCCCGATGAGTTGTCATCATCCATTAAATCCTTTCCAGGAAGGTGGACAGGTCACTTGGATACGACATCTCCTTTATATCGGCAGGTGTAGGCCAAGACTCGCCGAACACACACTCTCTTATTGACGATAACTCCGGGCACTCGCATAGGACATGCCTGACAGTCACATTTTCCTATTCACACATCCTGCATAGATGTTTGTCCACTAGCCCCATATTATGGAGGTGATTCCTTAGTTGACAGTGGCCAGTAAGAAATCCTAATGTTAAGCGTAGATTTTTCCTGGTCATCGCCAGATATTTCTCCTCTGATTCCATCCCTTCTCTTTAGGGGTTGACCATGAGTGTAACATTTGTCTAGTTCCGCAATTGTCGAAGTCATCAGGCCGTAGGTGTCACTGGTCCAGCCGCTTCCTTGGCTAAAGAGTCGGCAATTCAATTACCTTCACTCCTGTCGTGCCCTTTAACCCACCTCAGGGTAATGTTATTATCTACCAAGGCTTTGGCTAAATCTTGGTGGCACTCTAGTACTAGCCCTGAGGTAACACGTTGTCTGTTCAAGGCTAATAGGGCTGGTCTACTGTCAATGCAGATTGTTATGTTTTTGCCAGAAATTCCTTTCTTGGTTATTTCTTTTGTGGTGATTGAGATACCAGCCAGTTCTGTTTGGACCACGCTGGTATTTTTCCCATTCCCCACTTAATTCTGAGGCTTAGTGATCTGGAGTACACTCCACATTCTGAGCCTTCTTTGGTTTTTGAGCCGTCTGTATATACGCGTATTGCATTTGTAGCATCTGACTCTGTGTTCTGTTTTATTTGTATTCTGTAGGGTTTATTAAACACAAACCTGGTTTCAATTGTATCACTGGTTGCCTGCAGCAGAGGTTGCGCAGTAAGCACTTCTCGCCATAGGCTCAGCCTCAATTGACCATTTCCTACTTCGAGATTCACACCAGGCGTGCGCAATCGTCTTAACGTACAGATCCAGAGGGGTCAGACCCGTAATTAATTCCATTGCCGCGGTTGGTGTTTGTCTCATGGCTCCTGTGATGTGTAAACAAGCCAGTCGTTGTATTTGATATAATTTTTGGATAGCCTTTGCTTCTAGAACGTTCGGTCCCCATGCAATGGTTCCGTACGTTAACATAGGTCTTATTATTGCAGTGTAGATCCAGGTGACCACACGGGGTGAAAGACCCCATGCGCGTCCCACTGTCCTCATAAGCCACAAATGCTCTTTTTGGTCTATTCTGTAGGTTGAGATATACCCCATACTATGAGTTGTGAACACCCCCCACCAATGATTTTCTGGATCTGCCACTGTTTTCATATGTAAACTCAATATTCGGATATCTGTCGTTAAAAGTCAAAAATCGCAAAAACATCATCTATAAATCGGATTCAAGACAATGGAAAATCATCTAACACCTATTTAAATTGAAACGAGGATATGTTTAGGAGACTGTCGTTTTTGAGTTTTATACTCCGTCATCTTTATACGAAAAATTGGGAAACTTCAAAAGGAAGGAAGAAAGCAATCGAATCCAAAATAAACTTTTAACGATTTGTAAACCATATACAAAATTTTCTTTCAGATACAAACTGAAAGGAAAAGCTCTTCCGCATTCGTCTCAACCGGAGCAGAAAACTCCACTTACTTCGACAGTCGAAAACTAAATCAGGCATATTAGCTTGGATCTGTGATCTGTCTGTCTGAGGGTGGGAAATTAGTAGTACTCTTACGCTATATCGGTGGATAGAGGCTGCAACATACTGAAAGAAGTGCGTTAGGGTCTCAGGCGCCTCGTGGCAGGACCTACAACTGGCGTTAGAGACTCACCACGTGACTAAGGTAGACCAAGGTATTGAATCACCATAATCACCACATTTTTTAGACTTGAGCCCACTTGACCTGAGGAAAGCAAAGGTAAGGTTTTTTTGATGAGCCGAGGTCTTCAATATTGTTAAATAAAACCCCATGCATCAGCTTATACTTGTGAAGCCACAGAAGCAGCTTTAATGTGTGTCTTTTGCTGAACAGGTTCCAACTCGGTGCCAGAGTTCTGATCACCTCGATCATTATTATTATCATTAAAAACCCTATCTCATCAATATGGTAACTTCATAATTACTTCTACATAAATATTTTTCATAACATTCAAATACTTTGATGAGAGCGTGTGAGACATATAAACGTAGAAAAAATCTCTTAAATCCAAAATATATTGAAGGAAAAGGTGAAAGAATCGTGGTAATTATATTTTTTACTCTATTTTTTACTCTACAGCTAATCGAATTTCAAAATTTTATTTGAAACTTTTTAGTTACTGAGATACTTGATGAAACACTCGTTGAATCAAGTTTTGAGCCATTTACGGCCAAAGGTGCGTTTAGGCAATTTCTTTTTATTGGCATTTTTTCGACTTATATTTCAGAAAGAACAAAAAGTATAAGTGGTGTTTCACATGCTCTTTCACGTGAGCTTCATCAAACTTGCGATTTTTTTTACATCTTCATTTAGTAATCTTATGCTCAGAACCATTTGCTGAAAAAACGGTACTTACCGAGTGATTTCAGAAATGTACAACAATTTTCAACAGGAAACATTTTGTTTCATTAGTTTCACTTACTTTACATTGGAAAGCAGCTTCCGAGTGTCCGAATTAAAATCAGGTGCATTATCATAAGTCATTAAACAATTTCAACGAAGATGTTTCAAAAAGTATTCTTCAAAAACTTTAATTTTCTTTTATGGCAATAACCTTGAAAAACCAATGATCAAAAAACTGATGAGCTTTTCTTAAGTTCGAGTTTCCTTTACTCTTTCTGATGTGATATTTAAACCAGAACTCGCAAACGATTCATCTTCGTTACATACCGCATCATGTATCCCATAAACCGTTTCAAACTCTTTATCGAAAATTTCTTAATTTTTTTAAAAAACGTAACTCGCATTCATTTTGATAAATTAGAATTTAGAAAGTTAATAAATCACGATGAAATTCTCACGAAAATTACGAAACTGATAGAAAACATTTGTAAGATAGAAAATTCAGAAACGAAAAGGTTATTGCAGAAAATGTTACTTCAATCAGCTACATTGTAGCCCAATCACAGACTAGATATCTGAAGCTACCGCCACACTATAACGAGAATAAACATCGCAGATTTAAGGAATGACGTCACAGATACCCAGACCAATGATATCAAGACCTTACGCCACACTGAAGGCGCAGTAATACACTGCGAAACTTCAAAAGCGTTTTTTTCGAAAACTTTTAAATAACTTCAATTCATTGAAAATAAAATATGTTTTTATTTTTTCATTTTTTTAAATATTGCAAAGTATTGAACCGAAGATTTTCTAGGTACGTGTGCAACGTCTTCCATTCAGAAGATTCGTCGCAAGTAACTTCTTATATATTGTTACGTTTTTCCCGTAAGTTAACCAACAATTGACTAAACTGTATAATAATCAAAATTAACTTTATTTCGCTGTTAATACAACAAAAACGTTTTTAGTGAAATCAATTTCACTTGGTCGGGACGACCACCAATATACCGGTTTCGGAGTACTAGCTCCTCATCATTACCTGGGGGTCACTTTAGACTTAGACGAAGTAAACAAACAAAATCAATTCCAACTAGTAATAAGCTCTATCTGCAGTTGATTCATTAGGATGTACTACTGCGCCACCCGCAGACAAAGTGCGGAAAGCTGAAGTAAAACCATCAGGCAACGAATCTTTCAAATGAAAGACGTTGCTGGGTTAGTTGTTAATTTTTCCGTCTGATATCTGCTTCAAAGTCGTACGTTCACATGAGAAGCAAGGGTGAGGTATTATGACCTGAACTTGAGCATATCATATACAACCTCTCCAGAATATGTTTTACATTCTGACTCCCACGCTGGAGTCTGTATTTGTGGAGTTGTTTCTGGACTTTAGTGGCGCAGTGGTACATCTTCCTGAATTAACTGCAGATAGAGCTCATGACTAATGCCCTTTGGTAACACATATTCGTTGATGAAAAATCGTTTTATATTTTAGAAGACATTCATGCAAAATGTTTATACGTGGAAAGCCAGTCAGGCTTGGCTTCAAAACTGTGATGCCTTTGTTCTGGCACTGAATACTTATTTAAGTTTATTCCATATGGAGGAAAATTAGACAAATCAGAACAAAATGTTCTTTAGAGATAAAATTAGTTCTGGAACTTCTTTCAGTGGTTGAATCTCCACAACAACATGAAGTGTTTTTCACAATTTATTCACCTCGTAAATTATTTCTGAAAAACTGAAAAATAATGGTTTTGTTGCAACAGGAACAGTTAGAGAAAATCTAACTGACATCAATAGGAAATAAAATTAGAGGTGTATTTAATTCGGAATTAGATGTAGAAGATTTTATTTCTTAACCTAATGTAATTCACCAGTATAACATCTAAATAGGAGGTGTATACTTGTACGACAGCAGCAACGTGAATTAGAGAATTTTATTAGAAGGTCGAGTGGTGATGGCCTTTATTTACTAATATGGTTGACAGGGTTGTTGACAATATATCTGGATCATTTATGAATTGGTAAATCAGTCGAACATTTACCAGTTATATTTTGTTCACATCTAGTAAAGACTAGAAGAAGCAGACTAAAGAGTCTGCTTAAATTTAGTGGCCATAAGGACAACATCGTTACTGTGATATGTATGTTTATCACCCTGTATAAATAGTAAGCTATGGTGGTTGCCATAACAAAGATAACAAGATAGTAGGTACAATTCGAAAGTGAAAAAACTGTTATAAAATTGAAAGAAAATAAAGTTTGTTCCAAAGACGCATGACATAGTGTCATAAGTATCTACTCGGTTGTGAGCCCGTTAACTGATTACGGTTGAGTTATGAATATGAGAACATCATTTAGTTTAGTTGATTTATAATTTTATTTTATCTAGTTGTATATAGTTGCTATTGTATATAAAAAAAGAAAAAATAGTTTGTGTCAATAAAAGTCAAAAGAAACATTTCATTTTCTTTAACTGAGGAAAGTTATCAATTCCAAAAATTACGACATTAAAAACTGGTCAATTTGGAAGCAAAAATTCGAAATATATTAGAAAGTATCTGATAAATCTGAAAGTCAAGATAGCCATTCTTCTCAATTGTATCGGCGACGAAGGTTTTGATATATATAATACGTTCAACGAAGACCAAAAATCAACACTCGTAAAACTATTTGCTGACTTTAATGACTATTTTCTACCGAGAAAAAGCATACCTATATGGAATCATTCAAATTCAATCACCTAGTCCAAGGTGAAGCAAGAACCATTGAGCAGTGTCTCACTTAGCTAAAGAAGCAAGCTAGAATATGTGATTTTATATGTTCAAACCCTATGTGCAATACAAGAAATGAAGAGAGAATGATTAGATATCATCTAATTGTTGGAATACAAGACAAACAGAATCAATCTAGGCTAATAAGGGAATTGGATATAACTGTAGTGAAGAATATAGAATATTGTAAGTCTATAAAACTCGGTGAAGAGCATGTCAAAATACAGAAACCTAAAGAAGTTAATAATGTGAAGAAATTTCAAAAATTCAGATGTAGGAAGTATCTTTAGGAACTTATCTCAAATAAATGTCCTGCTTATAATAAAAACTGTACAGTTTGTCAAGGAAAATGACGTTTTGCAAAAGCGTGTTACTACAAGAAAGATGAAAAATGTCATTCTACGAGGTCAAATGAAAATTTTAGCAGAGAACATCTAATGAAAGAAAAAAAGAGAGCTGCATTCAGGATGAGTCTGGTGTCGAATTATTTTTGAATAAATGTCGTATAGGATATAATAATTCATGGTATGACATTATCACTATTAAAAATTGCATATTGAAATTCAAGCTTGATTCTGGTAGTGACAGTAGCATTTTACCTATTTTGCATCTCAAACAAATTATTCCTATTCCAAATTTGAAGCCCTGCTTTATAATTTTAGTATCCTACAGTACCTCAAACCCTTAGATGCAATTACATTGAAATGATAGTTCAGAGATATAGTTCAGTATATCAAATTTATTGTAGTTGATTTCAGTTCCGAGCCAATTTTTGGGTCTTAAGATTGTCATAATTTGAACTTAATTTAAAAAAATAATGAAATAAATCTTGTGTCAATCGAAAACAAAAATTCTTGAAATATATAAACAAGTTTCTGAAGGAATAAGTAAGATTCCTGGATTAGGTTCTATTAATTTAACCAGCGATGCTAGGCCGGTAATTCAGTACCAACGAAATCTTCAATTTTCATCATATTCAGAATTGAAAAATGTTCTTATAGTGTTTTATAAAAATTTTAAATAAATATACTGTATTCAGCCACCGGTGCATTTATACAACCATGTATTTGTTTCGATTCCTATTTTAAATTTTTTGTGAAATAAATAAAGAAATAAAAATATTTATTTCATGTAAACAATTAGACATGTATACATCGTCCAGATAGTGATATAGATCACATAAGATAAATTAAATAAAATAGTGTAAAATACGCTTCACATGATGAACATACAAGTAGAAAGTTATATATCATAATTAAAGACAAGAAGTATGAACATGTTAAAAACAAAGAACAGGATAGTAATCCCAATGAGGAAGAGAATTACATACTAACATGCACTTGTAACTACATGATCCAGATAATCATCTAAGGAGTAAAAAGAGTGCTGTGTTAATATTCAAGGATCTTAGTTTTGAATGATACAACAAAACATATTGTCATCTTTGGATTGTAGTGGCAAAACATTATACAATTTTATGCCCAGAAATCTATTTGGAGTTCTGTGTTTTTGTAAGTCTGAATAATGGAGGACAGAGATTACTTTTTTCCTTGTTTTATAAGAGTGAGTGTAATAGTGAATTCTTTGATATATTATGTTTTTTTTTACATAAAGAAGGTACTCCATAATGTAGCAACATGGTAATGGAAGGATGCTTAATGTCCTGAACAGTGGTTTACAGTGATCATCATATTTACTGAATGTTATTATTCGAATGACTTTTTTTGCGCAATGAATATTTTGTAGCTGTGACCTGTGTTCCTATGATTATCAAGGCATGCCATTATGCTATGGAAAATAGCAAAATTCGTCATTCTTAGATGGTCTGTATCTACATTCCCTTAACTGTTTGTATGTTGATTTAATGAAAATTTCAATAAATATTCACCTTGTCTTGGCTGTTAATGGGTTGAAATCGGTGAAACATATGGAGTATTGCAGAATTGTTTTATCTGAATAAAGAAATAAAAAGGTTATTGAAAGTGAATGAAATACTAAGCATAGTGCCGTGTTGAACTTCGATGTTAGGTCTTCCAAACTAATATAAACATTGTATTAAAGAAAATATACTTTAAGAATATGAACTGAGGTTGTAACTATGCACAGTAAAATAATTGGGAAAATTGTAATTCATGGGATACTTACGAATTTTTGCAATGACATTAAATGATGGTAGGAATTCAGAACACTTTTTTTTTTGTCGGACACAATTAGTTTTCGTTTACAATACATTTTCATAGTGGCAAAACCTCAACTGGTGGTTGGTATTATTCTGCATGTGCAATGAATATTTCAGAGAAAACTCATATAATAAATATCATCTAATTCTTTAAAATATGTTGCTAGATTCTTCTACATTTTTCTTACCGCATGAATTACTTACTTTTAGGCAAACATAACAGAAGATATGAGAGCAGCCCATATGATGTGGTAATATTGGATTTTCCCCACAGTGTGCACATTTACTGAGCATTGTCATATTCCTCTTATCAACAACAGTAGTTTTAGCTTTTACATGATATGGATTCAAATTTCGAATGTTTCTCTTTATTTTATGATAATTCACAAGAGGTAATACATACACCAATAGTTCCTAGAAGACATAATCAAAATTACAATGATCAACTGTTAGTGATATACATTTACTCACTATAAAACCATTCCACAACAACTCCCGGGCCAAATATTTGGACTCGAACTGCCTTTGAGCATTATCGGTGGCATAAACTATAACTTTCAGACACAAACTGAAAGAATGCTAAATCGTGAATCTCTTCATCTTTTTTTAATTATTGGTACCAAAATTCTCTCTTTAACAGCCAGTCACATTATGACGTCATTTGATTCAAGCATTGGTCTAATATACATTTACTCACTATAAAACCATTCCACAACAACTCCCGGGCCAAATATTTGGACTCGAACTGCCTTTGAGCATTATCGGTGGCATAAACTTGTGTAAGTCCTAGAATTCTTTCTATAAGCAATGGCTTTTCACCAGAACGCAAGAATATGGAAATATTTATAAAATCCAACAACTTTAATAGTGTATAAATTTTGAAAATAATGTTATTTATATCATGAGAAGGTTTCCATATTTCCAACTTTGTTTTCACATACTCAAAACAATTTCCCAAGACATACAGTAATTTCTGGGTTGTAGAAATATTTTGGTACTTCAACGAAAGCAACTGTTGGCCAAAGGTACTATTTGATTTCAGAATTGAATTGTTCATTAATGAAAGACGGAGAATTAGATTCAATTCCGGTTCATATGGCGCGATGAATCCCGGCTGAAATTTAACAAAATCACACAAGAAAAACGATCGTTTATTAAAAAAGTTAAGTAATCAACTCACAGGAAGATTTTTTGTTGAATCAATAAATATTTGATACAAAGCCTTAAATATCTCATTGTCCAAATAAACGGCATTCATTTGAGTTACACGTAATAACTTATTTTTTCCCATATTATAATTATTTATTATTAAAATATTGAAGACAATTTGTTCATCGCAATAATCTCAATTCAAAAATAGATATTACACTAGGTTAGAAGTTGAAATGTTACAAAAGTAACACTGATTCCAGTGTTGCCAAGTGTCTTTCTCAACTTCCAATAAATTGATGGATATAGCCGTTACTACGTGATAGAAGATCATGAAAATTGGAAAATAGAACTTCTTGTGTTTTTTACCACTTGTATTTGTTACTAACGTTATTGAAATTTCATCCTACACGAACATTTTCCAACGAATAGAATAAACTAAATAAATGATAATACTTACCCTTACATCACCGTAGGCAGTCTATACGGTGCTGTAGGTAATAACATAGGTCCTTAACTTGATTAAGTACCTGAATTTTGTTTACCTATAACAATGTGGGTATGCTAATCTGAAAACTGGCGACTAGACAAGAAAGATTTGGTCATTTAGTAGGTTACATCCGCGATGCTTATGCTTGTGAATTTCAAATGATTTCAAATAATTGTGTTTCCAACCCTTGCTTGCATAGTGCAAAATTTCCGTATCGTTTAGATTCGGCAATTTCTTGAAGGCCAAGGCATTCGGTACAACGTTCGCTTAATGGTGTTTTTTGGGTCATTGAATAGCAAGCTGATGTACACATCATCTTTTGAAGACATTCTTTATAAGATGTGAGAGGAATCGCCGTCTCATTAGTAAGAGCTGAAATATCTCCCCCACTTAGCATCAGTTTAATATTTTGGTGATAAATATACAGATAAACTACGTGTATACTGGAGTCACCAGCAAAAATGCACTGTTTAGGTCGCATTACGAAAAATTTTTTGAAAGACCGACTTTTGCAGTAGGGTACTCTATTTTTAATTGTTGATACAATTTATCAACGTTGCATATTAAAAGTCCAGTTCGACAGACACAAAGCGCGGCCGTACACGGACCACATATTTACAGTTGAAGCAACCACAACATTGTGGCCACGTTGACTGCAATTCGCTGTTGACCCAACCACATTTTTGTGGTCGATTTGCGGTCATATAAACCGCACTTGCAGTTGAGGCAACTGACATCTATATTTTGTGGTGTCAGAGTTTAGTGCCAGTTTCAATATGGATTTTGAAGAAGAAACACTACTATCTACTACTCCATCTGATACAAAAAAAAGGATTGAGAGAATCTTCCAAAGAAAGGAAGGAAGTAATCAATTTGAAACTATATACATGAATGTGTAGATCTTGCAAAGAAGTAACTTTCAGACACAAACTGAAAGAATGCTAAATCGTGAATCTCTTCATCTTTTTTTAATTATTGGTACCAAAATTCTCTCTTTAACAGCCAGTCCACATTATGACGTCATTTGATTCAAGCATTGGTCTAATAACCAGCATTGCCAATTACCCGGTAATTACTAAGATCGTGGGTAATTATGGAGCAATCGAACACACCATGGGGTGAACATCCTGGCATTTTTTTGTATAATGACATCAAGATTTGTGACAAAAATCATGATTGCCAACAATTAAATATGAAACCCAGTCACTACTAAGCCCTTATCAAATCTGATAATTCGCTATAACGTGCTATTTTGAAATGGCACCAAAAGCATCGCTTATATTGCTACTTGCACATTTTATACCGAATTATTTTGGCAGTAGAGGACTAGAATACACATTCAGTGTATTCTCATCTTTTGCATCACACTATAATTTGGTGGATAGAAATACACTGATTGTGCACGAGTTCTGGAGTTTTCTCAAAATAATTTTCTAATGCGTGTTTCGATCTATAGGTAAAGTTAACTACTTTAGAATTGATTTACTACTAAGCCAAGAGAAGTAAAAGCGTGAGTATCGAAAATTTCAATCGACAAAAAGATTCGCTTTTCAAACAAAACATTTCTTGCTTTTGAGATGTATCCTTATATTAAAACGTATTTTTTTTTGGGAATGTTGGGACCTGGAAAAAATCGGGTAATTTCAGACACACTTGTGGGTAGTTTGACGATTCATCATTGGCCATACTGCTATTGGCACATTATCCAAGAATATATTCTCGGACAGACACAGAACAATTCAGTATAGAATACTTTACAACTTTACCACAGTTTAGCTAAAACTTCTACTGTGACTTTACTATTAGTGTAATTTTATTTTTGTTTTTATACATCTCAATTTTTTTATTGTGGTCACAGAATATTGTGACTAAAGAGCCAAATTAACAAGAAGTCTTGTTTTAATTTATATTTTTTTCAAGTGGAAATGTCTACCAAGAATAATTCTGTTGATGCTCGTCTAGAATTGGCGGAATTAGTGAAGAGAAAAGCTGAAATAGGGGTTAGAAATATTGAATAACTTACCTCTAAAGCCACTTTGGATCGTCAAACATATTTCTATCGTGACAATTCTTTTTTAACTACATTGATTTCCTTTTAAGAGCAATTATTTTGAAATAAAATCTGAATTTAGGTTGCAGTTCTCTCCTTCCCTAAAAACACTTCTCCTGCACAGGACCTTCTTAATATGTATTATTACCAAGCAAATTTGCGTCATGGGGAGTTCAAAGATATAAAATTGTTAATGTGTGTGTGCGGGGAGCAGTGTTTTTGTGTCAAAAGTTTCAATTGTAACATTTTTTATAGTTTATTCAGCACTGCACTTTCTCGATGCTTCAGTAAAAAAAATCCTGTCTTTTAATAAAGTGCAAATTAAAACAAAATTTGTTCTAGGAGACGCTTGCCAAATTGGAACAACAAATATATGCGTTCGAGGGCACATACTTAGAAGACACTCAACTGTATGGCAATATTATCAGAGGATGGGACAGATACTTATCCAGTAACAAAACTACCAACTCTAAAGCAGATAAACGTAACAGAAAATTCAAGGAAGCTGAGAGACTATTTTCGAAATCATCGATTACATCAATGGCAGTAAGTATACTGGTTATCCGAATTGTCCAATATAATAGCTTAATCTTTTTGCAGGCAGTAAGTGGGATTGTGGATCAAAATCCTGATAAAAGTAAGAGTTCATATGAAAGTGAAAGTAACAATCCTTATGCATACAATAGTAGTTGTTGATATTTATGTAGATTTTGGTATGTAGTTGGCTTTTTTGTTGTATTATGGTGGTTTATTTTATCTTTTTATACAGTTTATATTAAATGATTTTCAAATTACTGTTTTTAGTTCTGCACTCGCACCCTGCACTTTGCATATTTTTTCTGGGATGTTAATTTTTTTATTTTGCATGTATACTTGAGAATTTATACCTACTGTTCATGAATCAGGCTATATACAGCAGGGGAGGCAAAATGCACGGAATAAATAAAAATCAGAAAGGGTAGATTTAAAACTAATTTTCTTGTACCTAATAAGGATGATGTAATGTATACCTTGTTATGTGACATAAGAGTGACAAATATCAGTTCATTTGTCATTGACAGTGCCCCTCAATTTGCCAGAATTGGACCGGACGAATTAATCAGTTTCATGAATTGAATTAAAAATTCATGAGGCCACAGGCTAGCTTGTGAATAGTAGCTTTCTCAAAAGAAACATTGATTGGTTGCCTTGCTAAAATGATAACCATTAAGCTTCAAATTCAATTACTAATTTACATATGTAATATTTTTTAGATAAACTATTCCCTAGGCAATTCAATTCATTTTTTCTGAAACTTATCACTAAGTATTGATATAACATCAATGAAGATCGAGTGATATTTTACTGCTTTTTGTACTGAAAACCAACTCTTTTGGAGGTCATATTGAGAATTTAATTTTTGTCAGTTGGGTACAATTTAATTGACTTTCATTCCATTCTGAAATGATATGGTATATGACTTGCGAAAAATAGTCTTATTATTGATATTTCAAATAGGAATTACTAGTGGAAAGATGGTATAACGTCATGAATTTACATATTTTCGCAGAAGTGCTGAACGGAATCTTTACAGCAGTGCGGTGTAAATCATTTACAAAGAGAAGCATCTGCGCAATAGGATATGGCTTGTGAATTGTGGCTTCAATTCATTCAAATGAATTCATTTTGAGAGACCCCAGTTGCAATTCACTGAAATATATCAACTAACAACTTACTTTTTTCAAAACAAATCAATTAAACTCACTAAAGATGAATTAAAATCACAAATCTGTCCAACTCTGATATATGACCCCTCCCAGAAATGCATTCTGAATAAGTCACTTTAATTGGATCATTATTCAACTGTAAGTGTTATTGTGGTTTAAAATTATATAGGTATTTATTAAAAATTTATGAAAAGAACTGGACACATTATATAGTTAGTCTTTGATATTACATCAAATCAACTGAATTTTGATACATTATATCAATTCAATGCAGAGATTCAATCTGTGCTGAAATATTACTCACATTTTAAGATTTTAGCATCACACACTTGAAAACTTCCCGATTCGTTGCAAATTAGAAAAAATCGCCTCATTAATGACATCAGAGCATTACAGAAAAGTTTTAGAATTTGGACCTCATGCACTAAAATACTTGATGTCTTCCAAAAAAATTAAAAAAGGCATTTTTGTTTGGAGATTTGTTTTAGGGAACCCCTTTCCAAAGGAAGGCTTTTCCAGCATCATACAATTTCCTGATGAAGATTAAAAACTTTTTCTTTGTTTATTACTAAAGGCTATAACCCGACTTTTTTTATTCTTATACTTGGGAGGCTACTGACTTGCCATTTCTTTACAAGTCTCTAAAAGACACTGTAGGCTCATGAACTTGTTGGATGTTTGTCATATTCTTTTAGTTTAGGATGTCTGTAAATTGTTTGCCTCCTATGGTACCTACACCACATTAGAATAAAACTTAATAATTGATGTTAATAGGTGATCACCAATAATAATTGCTAGAACCGAATGATGAAAGATAGAATGACTCCTCGAATATATTGTAAATCCCAATGATAAATTCAATTCCGAAGCACTTTTCTCTGTAGGATTTGGTTTGTTTGTGGAAACTCAATTTTTTTAGTACAATAATTGGACCATCATCAGTATAATGTCATCAAACCTTAGTTAAGGGTGACAAATGTTGAAATATTGAGCCGTTACATTTGAGAAAAAACCAATGAAAACGCATATTTGGAAAAAAATTACAAAATACGACAATATTTTTAATCTATACAGATCAACATAATCTTAGAGCAAGCAGATGAGACCACGAATCATACAATTTAAGGCTTATTATATTTCTTTATTAAATGTGACTATTCAGGTACCTACAAAAAACAGTGGTAATTTCTCAATTTTCACTTTTTGTCGACTGAACATATTTTTCCTGTTGGATTATTTTTGTAATACTTACTACTGCTAAGAAAGATATACCATAATGTGCTTTTTGTGAAAGTTTTAATAATAAATTAGCTTTTATGAGGGATGGAAACAATGTTTGCTGCATAAAAGGATATTTTGAGGACAGTTATTATAGAAATAACATATGTTATTTGTTAGTTTTGACGTATTTAGATGATGTTTGATAAATCCATGATAAACATATTGAAAAACGCGAATACTATCAACACATCAAAAAATGCTTTTTTTTTGTTTAGTATAGTTTGTAAACGAAATGTTTTTCGAGGGGTTCAATTCCATATCAATATTTATTGCATTTCTGATTTGAAATCTAGCACACAAAATATTAAACGTTTATGAGATACTTTGAATTTGAAATGTTATTGAAACAGAGGTAGGAAATATGTGCAAAGTAATAGAGCATGATTTCAGAAATATATGTTCCAATTATTATGGTCACTGTATTTCTCTGATGCATGACTTCAGAGGCTTCTTGCTTTCATCTCTTCAAATATTTCACATTCTTCAGTGGACAGGCAGAGTGAAACAGAATCACTGACAAATGAAGATTCCAGCGATACCAATATAGCTGTGGTAACGAACCATATAGATTCAGGCATCAAAACTGCTGGAAAGCAATCTACCAATTCTAACTCAATTTCAACAAATGGTACTCAGAATGGTTTGGATAGAGCAAGTCCTGGTCCCGATGCCTCCGTCAGACAGAAGAATTTTCCTCCTAGTGCCAAGAAGAACAACAATAAAAAAGCGAGGCATAGATAACAACTCTAATATTTGTAAAATCTAGATGCAAGTAGTGAAGATGAATTTATTTTAAAGTTTTTATGTGACTGACAGGTTTTTCAAAAATCTACAGATGTTTATTCAATAGGCCTACTATTTTAATACAAAAATCATAATAAAAAATGACATTCCTAGAAGTTGATCAAATCTTAGATGTTTGCAAGTAAAGTCAAGTAGTGTTTAAAAAGTTTTCTTTTTATTGAAACCTTATATTAATTTTTTACTGTTTTCTTGAGTATATAACCTTCCACAATCTGAAAAATGAACAAAGCCAAATCAATAAATCAGCAGATAGAAAAGTATTGAGTCCTCTACAAAAAATTGTCTTTCAAAGAATACTGATAATAATGTTATCATCTTCCATACAGTTTAAATAAGTGACTGACTAAATGAATATATTAGTTTTGTATGCATATCATGAGAAATATTTTCTCCTAAGCATTTTACTACCACTTGCACTGTCCACCATTTTGGATAAACATTCTCAACTCTATTAGAATGTACAACCTTCTTCCTGATTAATTTAAGGCATTCAATATCAATAAATCCCAATATAAATTGAAAAAACATTTACTACACATATAATAAGAATAAGTTGACTGTAAATCAGGTTTATAATTGTTCAGTAATGTATTATTTTCGGGTTATCAATCTCTACTACTTATTCTCTAACCCTCTTTCATTCTTTTCTTTTTTATTAAGTTAGCTTTTCAGTCAGTTATTGTATAAATTCAGACAGATCAGACATGTATCAATCTATTCCTCTCTTCAATTTTTTTAAGTATTATGCCCCTTGTTGGTTGAGTATAATATCTCTGAGCTGGACTTCACCAGCAGTTTCATAATTTATTTTTATGTTTAAATTGTATTTGAGCCAATAAACACGTTTCTTATAATTTTTATTATTATTCATTGTTATTATAAGACCATATTATTCGGAAATACTTATCAAGTCATGCAAATGAGGTGGTATTGAATTAAAATTCACAATGAAATCACGAGCCATAACACATTTCTTGCCGTGCATTAATACCAATAGATTGTCCAAGTTGATTAAAAAGCTATTGAAAAAACCAAACACGATCTGTAAAGGGAAATATATATTGTATTATTGGATTTAACAGCACAAAATTCGGAATATATTTCACCACAAAAAGCATCGAGGTCTGTAGATTTATTTACGTGGCCATTTTTTATGAATATTTTTATACCACTATATTGATAATCTTCTCTGAAGCAAGCTAATACATCATTTTTTGTTTGTATTTAGGAGTCACTGTATGCGGGCAATTGTTAACTCATGACCACTTAGGTAGCTAGATAACTGTTCGAAGATATGCAAGAAAAGCCAATGAAAATCATCATTTTGAACATAAAAACTTAAATATATCAAAAACGCTTAGACTTAGGTGTATGTCATACACAAAATGTGCCTTTAATCCCCTTTAGTTTTCAAAACAATATAATAATACCCTAGTGCATTTCATTGAAAGTGCACTTCCGCCCAGTTCAAATGAAAGTGATGTCTTCCAACCTGCCTTGAAAAAATGTTGAGCATAATTGTACTATCAAATTTTTAAAATATATTTCAAGTGCATAGTTTTCCAAATAAAGATCGATGTAGTTCCAAGATGGACCTCTGCATGAAGGTATTTATTTAATATGCCATTGACTGAAGTGGTTATTTATGAGAAAATTCATTAAATATTATATTTGAAATGAAATAATTTTGTACAAAGTATGTTTTATTCATTTCATACAAAATATCACAATTGATATATTGAAGCTTATGAATATATTGAAAACCCAGCAAATATTATATTTGAAATGAAATAATTTTGTACAATGAAATGATGATCAAACAAAAAAAATGTAAGCATATTTTATTCCTAACTTACAAATTATCACAATTGATATATTAAAACTTCTAATTATATTGAAGCCAAATTATAAAATATGTAAAAAACAATTCTTCAGGGACTAGGTTCACAAAGCTTTTCTATAAAAATAGATCTGATGTATATATTACCTAAATGATAAATTTATTTAAAAAAGGTCAAACAACAAGTGTCTCGATTCATCAAGTATAAATATTTTATCCAAATAAAAATTTATATAAATTTACTTGCATTTGTAAGAAAGAGACATCTGAATATATTCACAATTAATAACAATTACTTGAATATCACTACTGACAAGAAGTGTGAGCAACTTTCATTTGCCATAATCTGCTATTATTTTCAGACTCTAATTAACCATTTACTATAAATTCTGACTATCGTTTTGTGATATTCCTTCAAACAAATACTGGGTAGTGTAATTCACCTTTGAAGACCAAAAGTATTCAGTGACTCGACAAACCTGGACTCTGAAAGCAAAAATTGGGATCAATCAAACAATATTACTGTAAAGTTTTTAAAACTCACGTTGTAAAATTGTTGGGGTTTTTTTTTCAACATAAAACTGGGCAGTATAATAAAATACAAATGTTAAAATTAACATCACTACACTGATTGTTATAAAAATATATTCATTGTGTTTTCGATATTTACAACAGTTTACACCCCAGAATGTCCAAGTTGTATTCATCTGAAATAAAGGGTATATAAATAAACACAGCACTTAATATAAAAATATCAGGACATGTTGAATGTGAAAATACATAAAATAATAAGTGTGTCTAAAAAATTTCTGACATCAGAACAAAAACAGTGACATACAGTATTGCTGTTCTGAAATGAATTGCATAATGATTTGTGAAATACAACTCTGACGGTTTTTCAGTTCATTATGTTTCAACAGAAAGAAAATCTGTTTGTTCTATTATCTCAAACATCAATGTATGAATATTGTAATAAGTTAAATATTATGATCACAATACATATCCTAATTATTCATTCAAGAAATTCATTACAGTTTTTACTTGGAAGTTATATATTCATTATGTCTTAACTAAGAAACAATTACTTGTCATGCACTCTTTGGAACTTTTCATGTAGTAATGAATATTACTGTAGTTTTTTCCCAACACCAAACCGTTATTTTAACACCTCTACACATGATTGACAAACTGATCTTCCTCTTGACAATTATCACTTGGTGACTGAAACACATGTCGAGGTGTTAAATAACGGTTTGGTGTTGGGAAAAAACTCCAGTAATATTCAAGAAACAATTAATTTCTTTCTTCTTTTGAGCTTTACTTTTATACCTCAATACCTTACCTCAATGAACCCATGAATCAAATAATTTGATAATCAACAGCAAAATATCAGATGCTATACAGAAATATAAGGGTAAGTATATAATTTATATTTCTTTGCAAGTAATAATTTGTTTGGATGATCTTTTATACTCACTATGTCTACCAAATCCATGCATAAACCTATCTTTTCATTATTATTGCTGATAGAATTGTAAAAGTTACTCAAAACTATATATTTTTGCATACATTTTCCACAAAGGTCATCCTTCTTTAACGTTTGATTGACACAGACCATAAAATTCGTATAATGTTCTTGAAATTGTATGGTTTCGTTTGATATCACTTTACTTTGAGTTCCATTTTCAATGCGATAACATTCTGCAAACAACTAATAAACATAAGTTGCAGATGAAAGGAATTACCTTCTACATACCATAACATTTGGCTCGATTCCAAAGGGCTACATTATTTTCATAAAGTGTTTCTATTATTTCTAGCCTATCAAGATTGATAAATATATCTATACATTTAGTTTCGTTATCAAACATTTCCTAAAAAAAATATATGTATTTTTGTAACAAAATGTTTAAAATCTCACTATAGTCATATTTTTATAAGCAGCTAATACATCTCTGTATGGATCAACACATTGTTCACAAAAAGTAATTGGTCTGGAGTTATGTACAGCACATAATGTAAATTGGGAAGATGCATTTGCGAAGTTGTTTCTTAGTATGGTGCAAGCATTGTTGGCAGAGCTGCTTCTAAAATTGCAAGCTGTAAATTTCAGAAATACTGTCGAATTTTTTACTCACAAAGTTTGATGAAACAGAAATATAAATTGGATGAGTATTTTGTTATTCATTGTTATCTATACTGTATATCATCTTTATTTAGAAATCAGAACGATGCGTGTTGAAAAAAATCAGGATTGGTTTCTTTATAATCAGAATGAATAATTCATTACTTCAAATAAATCCAAATGACCTTAGAAGAAACATTGAAATAATTTAAATAACAATGACTAAATCCTAACCTTATTTTTTTTTTGTATCTCGATGTCAAAATAGGAAAAGAAGTAGGAATAAAAGAGCCTATCATTGTCCTGTGGTCACAGTAGAAAATCATTGTCGATACCACCGTATGGAAGTAAATACTCTATCTCAGTATGTAACTATACGTTGTCGACACTTGAGTTTTTGTTCGAAAATATATAGTCTTGTCAAGGAGTACTAACAGCTCGGATTTTGATGATTTTTTTCTCAAATTTTGATTTTATATTATTCGAATTCAGAAACCTTTTAGAGCGGTCACAGAATTATTTATATTATTTCAACAATATGCATAAAATTAAAATAAGAAATGCAATTTTGCTTGGCTTATTTTTGGAAACAATCTTTGTATAGAGTAGAATAGAATATAATAGAATAGTTTATTGGCTATGTGATACATTTGAACAAATATTTGTAGAAAGTCAAAACAAAAATTTAAAAATATATCGTCATATACACAAATAATATACAAATATCACAATGCTTGTATATCTGAACAATGTACACAATAAGAAAGCGTCAATGTATAGTACAAAATTCTCTATCGATCAGTATACAAGACGACACAGTGGAATAATTTTTTTCAAAAAGTACACCTCACGATTTGATCTCTACAAACTTTATTTGAAAAAAATATAATCACAACATGTTAGCTTTCTCAAGTGAAAAGTGATTCATGCACTTGAGAAAGCTACTGTGCTAGTGATTAAAAAACCCATTATATTTTTGCTAATGCATCAATTAATTCTGTAGTAAAGTATTCCAGAAACCCATATCTGAATCCAATTTTTATGAAAGATTACTTGTATTACATATAACATGTGATTTCATCATTAACCTGGCAGCCATTTTATTCGCAATGTACCTACCTTTTATTTTCATGAAGACCTATTCGAGATTCAAGGAGATCATCGTCACAACGTGGCGATGCATACCGCTGAAGGAATATAAATAAGAAGTGTCAGAGTGACATTTTCTATTGATCATGGTGTGCAGGCTTTCACAAGTGTCCTCACAAATTGTCCGCCCTAGTTGGAATATTCGAAAATCCCGTCATTTTGCGCATCTAAGACTTAAAAAGCACCTATAGACCAAATTTTAGCTCCTAGCACTTACCAGTACGATGAAACAGAAATGAATGTATATTAAGTTAGTGACTTTCGCATTTATATTTCACAATTTTAGTTATCTCACGCACATGTGTCACTGCGTAAGCGAGAGCCAAAAGAACTCCCTACCGGCAATCCCGAGATTCACAAGTCTTGTTTATAAGATAAAAATTGATAATTTCCCACTAAAATATGACAACCAATCATATAATAGATATGTAAGAAGTATATTTGGAAACAATGTATTTTCATTTTTCATAAACTACATAAACTTTATCAAAGTGATTCACATCACGTGATAAAGCTACTGTGTTAGCGAAACGTGTTGTGATATATATTTTTCAAATATAGTTTGTGGAGATCAAATCGTGAGGTGTTGTTTATGAAATGGCTATGGATCTTCATCAAGTAACGGACGAATCAATTAGAAAAAAAATGTATTTTCAGTTGGTAGTTACATCAATGGAACTTGAAATATGGTAATAGATTTTTCTATTTCTCCTCCCGTAAATGCTTATCCAAATCTTCCTGTAAATTATTTCCCGAATCCTCTAAAAGCTTGATGACTTATTATATTTGTCAACATAGTAGAGATGAAGTAAATATTCGTTTGAATTCTCATTTTAATGATAATCGGCATGAACCAACCATAAGAGCGAACATTTATTTCAAGGTAATCATGAAGTAGACATAAATAGTATGCTTGAATCAATTTCACCTGTATATAAAATAATTTCCAAAATTATTTTCCAATATGGAAAGATATATTTTATTTTGAAGATGGCGAATACAAGTAGGTGATTGATCACAAGGTAGGGAATTTGTGTTCCCATCATTCTTGATTTCAAAACAAAAAATCATCGATAGACGTATCTAATAACGATAAATCCTGATTGGACAAGCAAATATTGGGAATACCACTGGTTGGAACTTACTTTAAATTCTATTGTTATCTTTTTCAATAACGTAAAATACGTAAAATTAATAACATCATGGCCCTTTGGGGTCTCCAAATCAAGCAGAATGAGACAATTTGAGAGAAAACAATCGAGAATCTGATTATATACTAGGAAACGACGTGAGTATAATGGGGTCGTCATTTTGAAACAAAAGAAAAAGAAAAACTAACAAATGACCATCGAAGGGTTGACTTACATGGTCAAATATTCTCAATTCCCCACCACGAAATGAATCTCTCCAAAGAGAACGACAACCACCAGGATTTTCTGAGACTCGCCCAGCAACAATTTGCCAATCACACATATTTTTTCAACGATGGATCTAATGATGAACGCGGTAATGTTGGCATTGGAGTTTTTTCACACAACCTAAACCATTATGGATGATTACCCTCTTTCTTTTCAATATGTTCAGCTGAAATAACAGCCATCCAAGAAGCAGTTCAATATATTGTAGACAACGATATCAAACACGCATATATCTTTAGCCACTCTAAAAGCGCCCTGGCAAAAATTTTCCAGTCAACTATATCTGCAAACAGTGATTACCTTTCATTGCGTACTAAACAACTGATATACAGAGCCGTCGCAAAGAGAAACAGCATACATTTGGCATGGATCCCTAGTCATTTCAACATCAAGGGTAATGATACAGCCAATATTTTAGCCAATATTGGAAGAAATCATCCACTCTCTAATCATTCTCAAGCAGACTATAGAGAGTTTCAAACATTATTGAATCAATATTTGGATAGATTGGACCAATCAATATAGCGGGGACGGAAAATTCAAAGCCAACCTCTGTACCACAACTTTACAACACTCCATGGTTCAAGGATCTAGCACTAGCTACGTGTTCTCGTAAAGAAATCGTCAATATATGCAAAATTAGGAGCACTCATTTCCTCAATAAAGCGCATCTTCACAAACTTAAGATAGTTGATGACGACCACTGCGAATGTGGGGAAATACAGACTCTTCTACATATATTCTTTGCTGTTGCCAATATACAAATATTTCATGCCTCTCTCAGCATCCCTCCTTCAACAATTCAGCCTCTTACCTTCCACGATATCTTTTTTGAATATATATCACCATCTAACATACAAATCATATCCAAAATTCTGATTGCATCCAATATAAAGGTGTAGTGACCAAGACAGACCTAATACTTATGCGCTTGCAGTGCTTCGCCAATCATGACCTGATCGTAGTGCCTATACACGTAACCGTAGTGCATCACCTCACATTAGTGTTTACACTCTAGTGCAGTCGGACATCGCTTGTTAATTGACTTTAAATTACAGTTGAACTTTGTTTTAGCGCAAACCCAAGTGGGGTTTGGGTCCGACTCAGATCCACTTCAGTGTGGGCTCCACCTGTAGTAGCGACATGATTCTGGAACTCCTGGCTGGATAGCCCTGGCAGCTGAAGCCATTGAATGAAAAAGAAGAAGAAGCATGTCTGTGGATAGGGAATATGGGAAATGGGAAAGGTGAATGTTAATAATACGCTATTCAAATTTAAACATAAAGGCGTATAATGTCCACAAATTCTGAAGATCCTTTAACTTTACAGAAAAAGTTATACTTTTTGTTGGAACAGTTACAAAGTATGGCAAGAGAGTTGCAGCCGTAAGTTTTCTCTAAACAAATTCATAAATATAAGTACTGGGACTCGCATTTTGAAAGTCCAACCTCCGTCATCCTCAGTTTATACTTTCGAGAGTTGTTCGTATCGAGATGACAGCTGGGTAACGAAATGAAGTTTTTTTTAAAAACTGAAGTAGGATTTTGGAACATTCAAAAAGGTAGAGTTTATACTCAATTTATTAATGTTCGTCTTGACGTTACGATCAAGTAGCCCACACGTTTCTTTAATGTGGAAGGGCCGACCTGTTTTTTTTTGGGGGNATTCGATATTTATGGTAAAAGAAGATGAATTGGTAAGAGATTCTCATTCTAAAAATAGTCCGGAAAAGTATTCTACCCCTTTCTTTCATAACAATATGTATCAAATGACTCTTCCTCAGATGACAAAAATATTAACAAGGCAATCTCTGCCACGAGAACTTCCCATTTTTGACGGAAATCCAAGTGAATGGCCCCCAATTTTATTTATCATTAAAATAATTCTAACGCTATTTGTGTATTTTCAGATGAGGGAAATCAGTCTAGACTGATCCCTTTTAATAATGCCACAAAATGTTGACAAGGTTATTGATTTACTGAAAAATCGTTTTGGTTGGCCAGATCATATTATAATGATGTTGTTAGACAAAATAAAGAAATTTCCACCCATGAGAGAAGGAAAGCTTGAATTATTCATAGAATTTTGTGATGAAATCAAAAATTTTGTAGCTACTATAGAATCGCTTAATGAGGAATAACATTTACATAAGTCAATTTTAGTGAATGAAATAATGATAAACAACCTCATATCAGCTAACATGGGTAGAACCCTTTCTATGTTAATAAAACCACAATTTAAACCAGCAGAATTAGGAAAGTGTCTTGGCGAAAAGGCAAATGATGCTAGTCAAATTCAAATTCCAAAATATGACATTCACGAAAATACGTCAAAATCAAAATATGTCAAAAAAGGAGTTACTTCAGTAACGAATAAGAAATCTTGTATTTGCTGTAAGAAAAATGTGCATCATCTTACAGAAAGTTCTGAATTTAAGTCAATGCCAGTAGATGGTAGGTGGTCAATAATAACGGAAAATAAGAATGCTTTTCATGTCTGAGTTTTTATCATAATTTGACGCAGTGCAGAAAAGAAAGGTAAGTGGACTGCAACAGTGTCCAAAGTTTTATCATAAGTTATTACATAAAGACGTACCCCAGATTAATAATGAATCCAATAATTTTGATGACTCTGCGATTGTTGGAACAAATTCTCACGTTTTCAATAATAAATCAATTCTACTGAATATTTTACCGGAAATTGTCACTTATCGAAATCAAACAGTTGAAACTTATGAACTTTTGGATGACCCAACAACAATTTCTTTGATTGATGAAGAATTTGCTAATTCATTCGGTCTTGACGGTCCCATACAAAGTCTCTCTCTACAATTGACTAATGATGACTTGTTTCATCAACAAAATGATTCTAAAGTTGTTTCATTTACTATTACCAGGAGAAGATTTCACCGTTGAAAGATGTTCAACCAATAATACTTATCGGGCAAGATAATTGGCCACTTCTAGTTAACAGAAAATTCATTTCTGGACCATGGAATGGAACCGCCCTGAGCAAAACATTATTGGATAGATAATTCATGGAACTTTGGAAGTCTACTAGAAATCAACATGTCGTTTGCCATATCGCTACTCCAGATCTCCAATTTGGAAATTGAAAATTTGGAAATTGGAATCTGTTCAACAACGTATGTCTGATAAAGTTTTATCCATTGAAGATGAGACATACAACCAGGAGAAGATTTCACCGTTGAAAGATGTTCAACCCATAATACTTATCGGGCAAGATAATTCCACTTCTAGTTAACAGAAAATTCATTTCTGGACCATGGAATGGAACTGCCCTGAGCAAAACATTATTGGGATAGATAATTCATGGAACTTTGGATGTCTCTACTAGAAATCAACATGTCGTTTGCCATATTGCTACTCCAGATCTCCAATTTGGAAATTGAAAATTTGGAAATTGGAATCTGTTCAACAACGTATGTCTGATAAAGTTTTATCCATTGAAGATGAGAGAGCACAACATATTTTGGACAGAACAATGAAACAAGGTGGAGAGAGATTTGAAACATGACTTCTATGGAAAAAAGATTTCATTGTTTTTCCTGAAAACAGAACAAATGCGCTAAGAAGATTGAACTATATTGAAAGAAAAATGGATAGAAATGAAAAGTAAGGTTAAATGTATTGTGAAAAAACTCAAGACACGAAGAAGAAAGGTTATATCAAGAAGGTGACAAAAGAAGAAGCCAATAATGTAAATGAAGAAATATGGTATTTGCCACATTTCGGGGTAATGAATGTGAACAAACCGAATAAATTAAGAATTGTCCTTAATGCTCAGTCAGAAGTCACGTGAGTCTAAATTATAATTTATTGACAGATCTCGATCTATATAACTCCATATATGATATTCTGTAGAATTTTAGAATTAAAAAATATGTATTTACGGCTGACATGTTTTAACAAGTTAAAGTTAAGAGAAGGAGATTGCTTTGCTCAACGAATATTATGGTAAAGGGCAACAAATTGAACCTTATACTTATGAAATTGTTGTCATATTTTTTTCAATTGACCTGTGGACCTTGCTTAGCCCAGGAGGAAATTCCGAAAACTTCAGAGAATAATTTCCAGAAGCAGCAACCACCATCATACAACACTATATGTTGTTGTATTTGGAATCGGCAGACACACTCGAAGAGTCAGTAAGTCTTATTAAGAATGTCATTCATGTACACAAAACAGGAGGTTTTGTCATTTGTAACTGGATCACCAATCACGAAAAAATCAGTCAAAGTATTGATGATTCAGTCTTAGCTTCAGGTGGAATAAATATGGGAAAGAATGGAGAATTCGTAATGGAAAGGATTTTGGGGATTTTTTAGAATCCTCGTGATAATACATTCACCTTTCAGACAAAATTTCAAAAAATTGGATATTTTGGAACACCAAAGACGATCAATTAAAAGGGGAAACCTTGAAAGTTTTGATGTCCATCTTTGGATCCATTAGGATTTGTGGCAAATTTCTCAGTTCAGGAAAAGATTTTATTACAGGACATCTGGAGAAGTCAAATTGGCTGGAATGATGAAATTTCAGATTGTATGGAAGAAAAGTAGCAACTGTGGACTGCAGATTTGAAAAATATCCACAATTTCAACATTCACAGACAATACTTCACCTTGGATAAACAAAAAAGTGATATTCAACTTCACAAGTTTCATCACTGCTAAGACAAGAGTGGCACTTTCGATACCTAGGTTAGAGTTACAAGCCGCACTGATGGGAGCGCCTAAGTAATTTCTTGAAGAAAACTTTAGACATGGAAATATCTGCTATTTGGTACTGGAGCGACTCAAAAACAGTTTTGTATTGGATACGATCTGAAGCTAGAAGATTCAAATTTGTTGCCCAAAGACTAGGAGAAATATAAGACTTAATGAAGTCTTCAGAATGAAAATACATTACTTGATTGATTTCAAAAAAATGTGGCTGATGAAGCTACAAAGCGATTTGAAAAAATTACGTTTAACAATAATATTCGGAGGTGGATTACCGGACAACCTGCGAATTTGAATCTTGAATTTCATTCAAGATAATCTCATAGTGCCTGACCCGAATAGGTTTTATAAATGGAAGAGACTGTTATGTGTTACAGCATATGTCATAAGGTTTTATGAAATTGATAAGAATCCAGTAAATTCAAGTTCGAATTAACTGCAGAGAAAATTTTCAATGATGAAATTCATCTTTTCAGAAAAATTCAGTTGGATTCATTCCATGAAGAGATGACGTTTCTGAAAAATGAAATGCCCATAAAAATTAAAAGTCGACTTTACACTCTTTCTTGCAGTTATTTTGAGGAGAATGGACTCTTACGGCTCAGTGGAAGACTGTACCAGTCATTTCAGTTGATCGACTCTGCAAAACGTCGTTCAGTTCTAGATCCTAACCTCAGGATAACCAAACTTCTGATCCAACATTACCATGAAATGGTTCACCACCATGACCAAGAATTGGTAGTGAATAATCTGCGAATGAGATTTTGAATATTAAGAATGAGACAAGCGGTAAGAAGTGTTTGGAACAGCTGCAAACATTGTAAAAATCAAAGAGCTATACTAAGATCACCAATGATGGGACTATTACTTCCTTGTAGGTTATAGTGTCATTTTCACCTGTATGGTCACTCGAGCTATTCATCTTGAAATAGCACATGATTTAAGTACAAATTCATTTATCGATGTACGTCATCAGTTGAATGTCGGGGGATTTCCTGAGGAATTATTAAGTGATAATGGGAAAAACTTCATAGAAGCCGAAAAGGAAATATCTCAAGAACTGAAGAAAATTAATCAGGATCAATGACTACGATTTTGTGCAATGAAAAAAAATTAAATGGTTTTTCAACCCTCCTTTAGCACTCCACATGGAAGAATGTTGGAAACGGTTTATCCAAAGTATGAAAAAGGTTTTGAAAGAAATTTTAAAATCAAAGTACTACTCAGAACATATTCTCAGAACTGATTGAATGCGAAATATCTTTTAAATTCTAGACCTTTAACATATGTTTTGTTGAACTCTGAAAATGCAGAGGCATGGACTCCTAATCACTTTCTCATCAGTCCGTGCATACTGTACTCTCCTGTACCGAAACTAGCAATAGGGATATAAATTTGATATCCAGTTGGCATGCTACATAGAAATTATATGATTTATTCTGGACTAAGGAGTTTGCCGAGTTTGATTAGTAGATCAAAATAACATGGTGATTCAAAATCTGTAAGTGTAGGAGATGTTGCTTTAATGGTAGATCCAAATGGACCCAGAAATATTTGGCAGAAAGGTATTATCAACGAAGTTTATCCTGACAAAGATGGTAAAAATCAGGATCGTCAATGTGAAGAATATTGGTGGCACGATTTTTCGACAACCATTTTCAAGACTAATCATTTTAGATGTTGTAAAATAGTAGTAGTTTGTTGTTATTCACTAACTAAGGGGGAGAATGTTATAATTTTTGTCATTGTTATCTAATTGAACCCTGTATATCGTTTTTTGGTTGTCATTTTGTGAATAATGATCAAGGTTGAAAAAATAAGTTTTGTTGAAAATAATAATAACGTTTTTGAAAGACGTCCGACTTTCCTAAAAGAACATAAAATTTCGTTCTTTGACCCATAATAAATAATAAATTACAGGTAATTCAAATACATGCTCATCCAACTAAAACATGTAAACCTTTATTCAAGAATCTCCAAATACTAACCCTTCCATGTTTGTATATATTTGAGCTGATTATGTTCATTAAAAGAATAAAAGAAAACAAAACGAACTAATGAGGACACATACATAATACTAGGTGTAAAGAAAAACTTCGACAACCCTATGCAAGGTTATGAGTATGTGAAAATTCACCAAAGCATATTGGTATCCAATGTTTCAATAAAATTAGAAACATAATAGATGTGAATCTGAATGATATTCTATTCAAAAAACAATTGAGAAATTTCCTTCTTGGAAAAGTTTTTCATAATGTTGAAGAATTTTATATTTCCTGATACCTTACTATTGTGAAATTAACTATTGTATGTTAAAAGAATTTCGATTTGTTTTGAAACATTACATTAAATCATCAATTTATTTGTAGATTGCTTTTTTTATTAGTCTGATAAATCTTATACATGTATGATGCCTTGTATAATCTTTGATTGATGAATACATTTTATTATTATTATTATATGTTTTTCAGCAAATGCAGTTCCAACACTGAAATCAATGGTCATTTTATTATTATTATTATAAAGTATCCGTAACGTAAGAGATGGCTATGTTTCATCTCATACAGAATTTTCGTGATGAATCAGAGCACTAATTCCTATTTTTGACAATTGACAGTTACGAATTCTAAGTCAGTTTTTAACTTTATGATTAGTTTACTTAGTTTTCTGTATCTGTAGAGTAGGGAGGGTGAGTGTAAGCCCACGCACTTAGGCCACATGTGACCCATTGTACATCCTCCCAAGGATCTTAGTTTTTTAGTAATTGTTTCATGAACTAACATTTGCTATATTTCAACAATTAATTTATTATTGGCATATGTAAAATTGAAACAATATTGAAAGTTTTCTTGTTTTGGTTAAGCGTTACAGTGCATGGTTTATGAAACGTCATGTGCATGGTCATCTTGTTATTCATTACATAATTTATAAATCCAGCTTTAGTCATCTCTTTATACTTTGGTTTTGGTACACAGAGTTAATGACATATTTGACGAATGTTATATACCATATCTTGGAGCAAATTAAAATCCAACCTCAGTAAAATATGCCGTGGCACTCCCCAAAGATCTGGGGTAGGATCTATCTTATTCTTTATAATATTAATGGAAACACTACTCTATTCGCAGATGATAAGACTTTATTTTGGCGTGAAAAACACTTACGATACTTTAAAGAATACTATCCAAATCCATTTAGAAAAATTTAAATATTTATGTGATTCGAACTGATTACATTTTAACTTCAGCAAAACCAACATCATATCATTCAAACTTTCTCATGAAAACCTCTGTTATGTTTTCATTCGCCAAATAATTGTTGAATGATGTTTTTTTTTCAGAAAATATCAAATGAGGCTGCCTTATGAACTGTTATCAAGTCTTGCCAATTGTCTGTTGAATGAAACTGTTTTCGAAATTGTGAAAGGTCTTTTAGAAATACAACATGTCACGGAGCAACATCTTTATCAACAAAGATTGCAGTTCATAAACCAAAAGAAAAGTAAGTCATTGTTAATTAGGAGTCCTAGATAGAAATTCGAAATTATATTAAAATATACGTAAATACAAAAAAGGTGCCGGACTGAGTCATGGCCGGTGAGAAGCCCCTCCCTCAGGATGTGCAGTAGATGTGTAGAAATCTGTTATCAATCTGTTAGATTATTAGAGTCGTAAACATCCAAATTCAGGACCGTATTCAGTTAGTGATGGAGTTTAAAAGTAAATTGCATAAATATATGTCATATACCTACCCAAACTTTATGCAGATACGATTTCTCCCACCGGCCATAACTCAGTCCGGTAGCTGTACTTCGAGTTAAAAATAACATAGTTTATTAAGACATTCAGTGCGAATGACGCCAATTAGGGACATCCAGCCATTCCATTTTGCGCGGGTGACGCTTTATGGCGCAGATATATCTGTTTCATTAAATGTGTTAGTATTCAGTCCGCACTAGACAGAGGTGGTTGTATTGCAGTCCACATTTTTAAATATCGTTATTCAAGAAGATTTCGGGTCGGTTCGTAATTTTGTGAGTTTAAAAACTTTTTACGTTGTATTTAAATATGCGTGAAGTAGGCAATAATCAGGCAGAACCTTCAGATGTTAAAATATGTAAAATGACAATAAGAGATCCAAATAAAGTAAATAAAGTCCACTAACTGAAATTTCTCAGTTAGTGGACTGTTAAGATGACTAAGACGAAAATTTTGAGCTAATTTCTGATGATGACCTTGATTCAGAAAGTGAAGAGGAAAATGATGGTAATTTATTTCCTTTGTTTTTATTGTTTTCTTCACTGTAAATAGATGTTTTCTGTTTGTCACAGATGATATGACAGATGAAACAATCGACCAAGAACAACAGATAGCATTCAATTCTGACAAAGAATGTTAGCAAGATATTTGATCCGTTATGAAACATTTTCCATCTACTGAAACTAATTGAACGCTTGTCGATGTTCCAACAGAGGCCAAACTCTACGATTATTTTAGACTTTTTGTTGATAGCAGGTTTTTTGAAAATATAAAAACAGAAACGAATAAGTGTGAGAAAAGGTATTTTTGTCAAGGGGCAGTAAGGAGAGGTCAAGGATAACCGATTAGAAATATCTAAAAGAAGAAGATCTCCTGAAATTGATTGAATTGGGGTACTGAACAAACGCCAAGACTATTTATTTATTTACTCGTTATGAATGGGAAAACCCTAAGTTACAACGTTGTAAAATATACATACATGTATAAAAATATACTTCAATTCAAAAGTAGTTACAAAATTCTTACGAATATTGAGATAAATACGATAAATAGCAACCTAAAAACTAAATGCTAAATAAAACAATTATAACTGATATCAACACTAAAAACTAACAAACATAAAAGGCATACATCTATAGACTAAATACATAATTGACTGCAGACTTTTTGAAGACCCCCAAGGAGCAACTAAAAAAATCAAGTTCTGATGCATTAGCTTCACTTAACATTCTTGATATCGGACCATCAAATCCATAATTGGTAGAATGTGAGTTCTCAATGAAAACAGCTCTTCATCCCTTGTTACTCTTTGCTCGACTCTCAAGCCAACCAAAGAGAGAAGTTCTGGGCAATTGATTTGGTCTTACAATAACTTGAATAGAAAATATTAGGTCAGTCTGAACCCCTGTTTTCCAATGTGGTTAGATGTAGTGTAGAAAGAATAACGGTGTAATTATGTCGCTGGTCCATTTGATCGACCATTTTGTAGGCAGCACTATGCAAAAACTTATTTTGGACCTTTTCCAGTGACTTTTTGTACACTAAGTAAGAGTAAGTGATTTCAAGATTATTTTATTAATATGGGATGATAATGACAACTTGTCATCAAATATAACACCAAGATCTTCAACTTCATTACCTTGGTTCAAGGGCAGTTTATGCAGTATTCATATGTGATTGGTACCTGAGAACGATTGAAACACATGACTAGACATTTGTTAAGATTTAGTACCAAGCAGTTATTTCTAGAGTGCAGGGCCAGTCGGCTTTTTAATTCCAAATGTTTTGCGCATCACATGAGCCAGGATAGATTTTTGGCGATACTCAGGACTATGCATTTTTCTACGAATCTAGAACCAAAGCAACCCGAACCAAACGACTGTCTATATAAAATAGGCCAGTTATTAATTATTTCAATAATAAAATGAAGGAACTATACTATCCCTGAAAAAACCTCATTCTGGTTAAATTTATGGTTTTGTGGCGAGATACTATTGATCCGGCAGTACATCGCAAATAAGCGACATAAATATGGACTAAAACTATATATCGACAGAACCAAATGGGCTTATACTGAATTTTGCAGTTTACACCGGTTTGTTACAAAACTGAAGCCTTTACCAATAATTGTGGAATACAATAAATATATGGGCGGAATAGATCGCCAGGACCAGATGATGTCCTACTACCCTTCTTTGAGAAAAAACATTTTTGGTATAAAAAACTTTGTGGTCATTTTCTGCAGCTTCTTTTGTTCAATTCTTATGCAATATTTTACAAGTACTCTGGCAGAAAAATGACATTTTATGAATACCATTTAGCTGTGATTGGAAATCTATTAACGATGAGATTGGAACCTTTGGTGTGAAAGTTGAATAACTTTTTTCGAGATCAATTGCCCTAACACCAAACTGATATTTTTGCACTCGACGCGCGTTTCGCCAACCAAGTTAGCATACTCAGGAGAAGAAAATTGATACCTAGTCTAGTCTGGTTAGTCCTTATATACTAAGGACCACAGAATTGGTGAAACCAATCTGAAATTGATTAAGCATGTGCATGACACCAGACTACTCGATGCATGTGAGAGGCTAGAAATAGCAAAATGTAAAAACAGCATGAATGGCGATAAGGGACCCATCCCGTTGAGCCCGCTTTTTAATCTTCTGTTAGGAAGGGAATAATTACTAAGAACTTGCAGGTAGTTAATTACTGAGAAATTCCATATTGGACTTCAGGTATACAACTTCAGGTAACAAATTTTAGTATATAAGCACTAACCAGACTAGACTAGGTATCAATTTTCTTCTCCTGAGGATGCTAACTTTGTTGGCGAAACGCGCGTCGAGTGCAAAAATATCAGTTTGGTGTTAGGGCAATTGATCTCGAAAAAAGTTATTGAAAATCTGATATACCACGTAGAATAGAATATACGGTATCTAAACACGTGCCTAGTAAAATTGAAGCAGTTGATGCCACACAGAGAACACCAAGAAAAATATGTCTTTTTTTGTTTCCAGAAGAAAATCAGGAAATACACTGTGAAGGATTGTAAGATTTGTCCAGATAAACCCGGTTTGTGTGTTGAGCCATATTTTATTCTTTTTCATAAAAAAAACGACCAGTTTCATTTGTTTTTACCTACTGTCGCCACACGGCGTCATCCGCATAAATCCTTGAAACTCAAGTAATTTGCGTAGGACGCCATTAGGCGTGTTCTAGTCTGATTTTTGTATAACTGATTAATTATAAGTTTTCACTAAAAAACAAATAAAAAAACACACACAGCCCCAAAAACATCATTCAAAAGAAAAATAGGCAAGTTCCGCACAGGGATGAAGGCCTTAATTATTTTACGCAACGAATGTGTTAACCATTTTTTTCAATACCAAAACTAAATTCTTTTAATTGAAAAGCAATTTTAGTGAAAAATACTGAATTCATATTATTTTTCAGTTCAAGAGCAAGAAATTCTCAAGCAGTATGAACATGATGTAGATAAGAAAATTGAGGAACTCCAAAAATTGATGTTGCAACAAAAAGAGGAATTGAAGGCATTTGATATGAATCTCGTCCTACAATTAGACCAAAAAGTTGCTGATCAGCAACAAATCCTCGAGCAAGCAGGAGTTCCAGGATTCTACATTACAAAAAATCCACTAGAAATCAAAGTACAGATGCACTTACTTGATTTTCTTTTGAGGCTCAGCAGAATGCAAATTCCTGTTTAGTTGTTCTCATATACTAGTCATAATGGATTTCCGAAACTTCCAAAATATAGTATCAAGATGACTAGGTAATCAAATATTTTTGATTGGAGGAGGGGTAATAATAGAAACTGTACATCTTCATATAAATTTATTGATCTTCCTTTGATATTTTCACCTTCCACAATCTGGAAAAATTATAATTTGTAATGGAAAATTTCATACAAGTGTAGAAAGGGCAAACTTTTTAGTTCACCTTGATCAGTTACTGTGAAAATTTAAAGTATTTTCCACAAAGGGAAATGTCCCATTTATATATAGCAGTTTATTGATTTCATTTGAGACATCCTAATATACATACATTTCTAATGGGGTGCATCTGTGAACGTTAAAAAAATTTTTTCACTTCAAAAACGTTGCCTTAGAATTATTCATAAATCCAAACAAACTGATAGCTGTAAACCTTTATTCATAGAAAAGAAAGTACTAACCCTATACAGTCAGTATATTCTCGACAGCATAATGTTTATTAAAAGCAATCCAAAGCTTTTTAACGACTTTGATAAATTAACTGTATATTTATTACACTGACATGTTCTACGCTCATCTGGGCATTTTACTTCATTGTAATTGAACAAATAATAAATAAATAAATAAAAAAAAATAATTCATCGGTAACTTGTCGTATTCAATAAGTTTTGCTTATCAAAAAAAGATATATCCAAGATAGATTGCCACAAATTCCCAGATCGGGACCTTCAGAAGCATTCAAACTATTTAATCTCTCATAGATTTCGGAAATTGGCATTCACAGATAGAAACAGACAAGAGATAGGAATTTACAGGTTCATTATTCTTGGAACAAACACATCTGGTAGAGAATATTATGCTTACACTTGGAGTTTAAAAAATTCCAGAATTCCTTAATGTTACTCACTGCCGAATATTCAGGAAATTTAATAAATTCTATAAAATCAATTTTTGACTTTTTTTACATTGCAAGCATAAATGAGAAAATGTTAGGCAGTCAGTGGGACACCCTGTCATCTAGAATTTCATGTGGGCTTCTTTCTTCAAGTGAATAAGATGCTTCAAGTCTGATGAGAAACATGAGAAATTTTCCAGTAGAATTTTTTTATTTGGTACAAAATGGTGAATGTATTCGTAAATTATGTCATAGAAAACACTAAGCATATCTTGATTGTGGATACTAATTGTTATGATATCTAACCTGCTTGAATCGACAAGTAGTGTGGCTTAAGAGCATAAATCGTCGTGGGGAAGAGTGAAATCACCCAGACTCAAAATTGGTATATCAACAGATCTTTCTGCTAGTCTATCTATATCTTCGGCCAACAGTAAACTTGTCTCAGTGCTCTAGCACCTTTAGAATTCTTCTTCCTCATCCTCTGCACATTGATGGTGGCAGGAGAGATCACAATTTTACACAACTCTTCTTTGACTTTTTTGGTTTCATCTTCACTTTCAGGCAAATTGAAGATCATCAGGTCGCAGGAGTGTCTTTGATTTCCTTGAAACTAAGATAATACATCAGTTGTATTAGAGGTTTTGTTTTTTCCCAAATATTTGAGTGTTTTCACTTAATTGATTCTTCTAAGCCTTCAATAATTGGAAAAAGTATTTGTAGATACCACTACATGTCTTTAGAAATCTAGAAGTTCTAGGGACTGTATTATGTCATGAAAGATGTATAGAGTCTGTTGAGAATAATTAGTTTGAATGGGTTACTGAGGGACCAATTTGCACTGTATGTCAATTAACCACTATAACTAGTTTTACTAGCAAATAATTTTATTCAACAGGGCACCTTTATACACATAACAATGTATAATGTATATCTCTATNTATACTCAAAACTCCTGAAAATAATGCGAATAAGAAAATGAACAATTTAAAGAAACATTTTCAACTTACGATTGTACCCAATTCAAACATCTCAAGAGAGCATTTCAATATTAATCTCTTTCTCCTGTCAGATAAGATTTTCATACATACAGGATGAATTATGATATTGAACTATTAAAATATTGAACAAAATAAGAAATATGAAAATATATTGAAAAATTAACAAATGTTAATGGTTATTTCTAACACTCTCGCCCGCCCGATACAGCGCTTTCGAAATAAAACGGTGTACCATCATTCGGTTTGTCCACACATAATAAGCCAAGCTTTGCTACTGGTCTTTCGAAAATACCAGCTGAAGTTTAAAAACTGGCTTTTCTCACTTGACACTTTGATATCTATTACCCTTCCTTTTGGCTAATTGCAACGGGATTGATCTTTATCACAAATAACTTCTATATCCCTTTGTAGTGGTCGTACTGGCTATACCATTTTGATCATAGCAATAGGTCGGGTATGTATTCTGCAACGAATAGTCGTCCAAATACTTTGTCAACTGCTCCCGGTATAGAGAACTGAATTTCAAGATCTTTGCAGCAACATCCAAATCCACTATAGGTTTGTCACCATTAGAAGAACCAACTAAGAAGTGATTTGGGATTAGTACTTCTGATTCTTCAGAGTCCATTGGAAGATAGGTTAGCGGCCTGGAGTTATTAATGTTTTCTGCAACTATCAAACAACTCATCAGCAGTGGATCTGTTGGATTTCTAGTTGGCAAGGCATCAAATAATGCAATCTTGATTGACTTGACTAGGCGCTCCCAGGCACCTCCCATATATGGTGATAATGGTGGGTTGAAAAGGAGTGATAATTGAGGGCTTATGAATGATTCTGCAATCATTTTCATCTTGAGTTTTTTGAGTTCCTCACAAAGAACACATTCGGTTGCGACAAAGTTCAGCGATCACAATATATATGTCTTCCTCCTCTGTTCATGAAATTCTTAAAACAGAGAATGCAGTTTTCATGGTCTATACTTCAATATGTACTGCCCTATAGTTGTTAGATATGTAAATAATGCTCCCCAGCGTTTTTCTATACGTCTTCCAACCATTACATTCATCGGACCAAAATAGTCTACACCTGTATGGGTAAATGGAGAAATGAAAGTGGCTAGTCGACAAACAGGTAGAGGAGACATTTCCGGTATAGCAGGTACTGCGGAGTTGATAATACATACCTGACAATTCTTTCGTACTTTGTTCAAAGTTCTTTTTAACTTGGGAATACAATATTTTTGCCCAATCTCGTTAAAGACGCTCTCATGATTTTTGTGTTGAAAAGTAATGTGATACTTTCTGATATTAAATGTTGTAAGATGGCTCTCTCGAGGTGAAATTATTGAGCGTTTAGCACTTACCTTAATACAGTAGTAATCTAGTAGTAGTAATCTTTATTATAGGATACATCCTAATCTTACAAGACATAATAACTAATTACCAATTTAAATTTCTACAGTGCCAAAAATATTAATAAAATTCAAATCTGTATATAGATAATAACAATAATGAAGATAAACTAAATAAAAAGATAATAATAAAAAATATACAATTTATAATACCTTTCACCCGTAGAT